ATTGAATCAAGCATCACGTTAGTTTTCGTTACAAGAAAGGTTTATGGATCGTGTGGCATCAGTGGCAGGAATCAAGGGGGATTCAGTGTGGGTTGGGACTGAAGGGGAGCTCAATGGGAGGCCAGGTGAAGCCAGGTGTGTCTGGAGAAGCAGAGGCCCCAGTGGAAGGAGGGCCCAGCATCACCTGGCTCTGCAATAAATAAGGGCTTGTTATTTCACTCTCCAAGGAAAAGTCTCTCAAAGCTGGTTGTCTAATTCTGCCTTTCTTTGACAGGAAATGTGATTGTTGTCTGAGAATCTTGGAGTAGAGCCTATTCAGGGATTTCTTTCCCTAGAAAGAAGAGCCAGGAAGAGCATCTTGGACCCAATTTCCTTCTTTGCCAAACAGTGGTTCCAACATGGAGAGACCCAACTCACCTGGACCTGAAGCAGGACTTGGGAACAGTGGGGCATCCTGGGAAAAAACAACACACAAGTTCCAGAATGTGGACCTATATAGCTCAGACACACAGCGCCAACGCTTCAGGCATTCCTCCTTCCGAGAGGGAGAGGGACCCAGAGAGGTTTGCAGCCGCCTCCACTCTCTCTGCCGCCAGTGGCTGAAGCCAGAGCAACACACCAAGGCGGAGATGCTGGACCTGGTGATCCTGGAGCAGTTCCTGAGCATCCTGCCCCCAGAGATGGGGAGCTGGGTCCGAGAGTGTGGGGCAGAGACCTCTTCCCAGGCGGTGGCCCTGGCAGAAGGCTTCCTCCTGAGTCGGGCAGAGGACGGGGAGCAGGACGGACAGGTGAGAGCATTGCCTCTTGGTTTCACTTACCTTGGGATTGGGATTGATGGACAGATTAAACGTACATCCTGCCTTTCTTCCAAGATGGGACTGATGTGAGGGAGAAGCCGGACTCTGCTCCCTCAGCCTCTTTTCCCACCTGCTCTGCTCTCGCATCCAGGTCCTATGGAATCTCAGTTGCGCCTCTGCTCAAATTTGATGACCCCAGATATCACATCGAAAATAATGGGAGAGGGAGTGTGGCATTTGTTTCAAACTAGGTTTCCATCGCAAGGTTATTCTATAGGTCTGTGATATCTTAAAACTCTCTCCATACTACTTCTACAATACTCTATGCTCTTCCATGTGAGAGTTGGTAAATTTAAATAAACACAAGCTGAAGCTTTACCACAGTATTTGAACCAAGATATAAAAAGGTAAAGGTAGTCCCCTGACATTAAGTCCAGTCATGTCTGTCTCTGGGGTGTGGTGCTCATCTCCATTTCTAAGCCGAAGAGCCGGCGTTGTCCGTAGACACCTCCAAGGTCATGTGGCCGGCATGACTGCATGGAGCGTCGTTACCTTCCCGCTGGAGCGGTACCTATTGATCTACTCACATTTGCATGTTTCCAAACTGCTAGGTTGGCAGAAGCTAGGGCTGACAGCGGAAGTTCACGCCGCTCCCCGGAATCGAACCTGCGACCTTTCGATCAACAAGCTCAGCAGCTCAGTGCTTTAACCCACTGCGCCACCGGGGGCTCCCTAAACCAAGATATACCCTGCAGTATAATGAACTATCACTCAGTCTTATGTAACAAGTCACAGTATCTTTCCTTCAGTTCAAAAGTTCAAACAGTACAGCAATCTATTCAACAGAGGAATGAAAGAGTCCTTTTAAAATAGTCTTTAAAATATGCCTCATGCCATAAAATGATCAGTCTTCAGGACAGTTGGCAGCCAGCAGTCTCTTCGCTGTCCAAAGTGAGAATCGCAGTTAGAATTCTTGGTCTCAGCAGCAAACAGTACAGCAATATATTCAACAGCTACTCTGAATTCAGGCAGAGAACAGAGGAATTAAATGGTCCTTTTAAAATAGTCTTTAAAATGATCATTCAAGATAGTTGGCAGTCAGCAATCCCTTCGCTGTCCAAAGTGAGAATGGCAGTTGGAACTCTTGGTCTCAGCAGCAAGCCAGAGGCAGCAGCCAATCAGAACTCTGGCTCTTGGCACACTCAGCCAAATAGTTGCAGACACATCACTCTCCGTTTAACCCACCATATCATGGCGTCCTTTTTCCAACCATTTCAGGCCCAAAATGGCTGCATGGAAGCCCACCCTGATGTCCCTGAATCGGAGGAACCCCCACCAGGCCCCACCCAGAGCCTCCATCAGAAGGAGCTCAAGCAGGAAGGAGACGGGGCTGCGGCCTTGGAGGGTAAGGAGGAACCCTTTGGGGTGTTTTCCTCTTTTATGCTGGTGTGAATTTCCCTTTAGAGAGATTGTGTCACAGCCCCAGTCCATTGGAGATAGAGATTATGCACATCCAGGATCATTTGGACTTGAGAGGAAGATATAGGTAGGCATTTGGTTTCAAAAGTTATAATTTCAGTAGGATTTGCAGGGTTTTTTTTTCTTGCAATACTTGTACAGTAGCCTAAAGTTGAATCTGACTGAAAATTCAGTCTTTCAGTGTCTTCCCAGGTGCAGCCAAAAGCCAAGATGATCCCTGAAACTGAGCTGGAAGAGAAACAGACAACAAAGAATAATTTTAGACTATTGCAATACCAGTAGTTTCGATCCAAGCTACTTAAAGCACTGCTTGAGATAAAATGGCCTAAATTCCAAAACTTCACAAATTCCTGGGCTGGAGAACGCTCCCATCTTCATACGGCCAATTCCTCATACATTTTTTTTCCTTACTGTAATTGTAATCTCTGAGACATGTTTATGTGTTCAGCTTTACACACCTTGGTCTCTCTCTCCCAGGGGCTGGAACGATGTTGTTGCCGAATCCACAGTCAATTCGTCCCTTTTGTGATGGAGTGGAACTGAATGAGGTAAGCAGAAGGACTCCTGGGAGAGGAGGAATGGAGCTGCCTGGGGGTCATTGGTTCCAGGCTCAATCATAGAATCCTAGAGTTGGAAGAGACCTCATGGGTCATCCAGTCCAACCCCCTACCAAGAAACAGGAAAATTGCACTCTAAGCATTCCCGACAGATGGCCTTCCAGTCTCTGTTGAAAACTTTCCAAGAAGGTGCCTTCACCACACTCCGGGACAGAGAGTTCCACTGCTGAACAGCTCTCACAGTCAGGAAGTTCCTGCTAATGTTCAGGTGGAATCTCCTTTCCTGGAGTTTGAAGCCATAGAATCATAGAATCATTGAGTTGGAAGAGACCTCATGGGCCATCCAGTCCAACCCCCTTCCAAGAAGACCCCCGACAGATGGCTATCTAGCCTCTGTTTAAAAGCCTCCAAAAAAGGAGCCTCCACCACACTCCAGGGCTGAAAGTTCCACTTTTGAACGCCTCTCACAGTCAGGAAGTTGTTCCTAATGTTCAGATGGAATCTCCTTTCTTGTAGTTTGAAGCCATTGTTCCCCTTCCTAGTCTCCAGGGAAGCAGAAAACAAGCTTGCTCCCTCCTCCCTGTGACTTCCTCTCACATATTTATAAATGGCTATCATGTCTCCTCTCAGCCTTCTCTTCTTCAGGCTAAACATGCCCAGCTCCTTTAGACGCTTCTCATCGGGCTTGTTCTCCAGACCCTTGATCATTTTAGTCGCCCTCCTCTGGACACATTCCAGCTTGTCAATATCTCTCTTAAATTGTGGTGCCCAGATTTGGACACAGTATTCCAGGTGTGGTGTAACCAAAGCAGAATAGAGGGGTAGCATGACTTCCCTGGATCTAGACACTATGCTCCTATTGATGCAGGCCAAAATCCCATTGGCTTTTTTTGCCGCCACATCACATTGTTGGCTCATGTTTAACTTGTTGTCCACGAGGACTCCAAGATCTTTTTCACACGTACTGCTCTCGAACCAGGTATCCCCCATTCTGTATCTTTTCATTTCATTTTTTCTGCCTAAGTGGAGTATATTGCAGTTGTCACTGTTGAACTTCATTTTGTTAGTTTTGGCCCATCTCTCTAATCTGTCAAGATCGTTTTGAATCCTGCTCCTGTCCTCTGGAGTATTGGCTATCCCTCCCAATTTGGTGTCATCTGCAAACTTGATGATCATGCCTTCTAACCCTTCGTCTAAGTCATTAATAAAGATCCTGAAGAGGAAACATTGTGAAACAGAAAAGATTGAACCAACAGAAACATAAATAACTTCAAAGAGATTCCTGTAATTCTTTTTCTTGATGTCCCTTATGTGAGAAGGAAATGTGTTCTTTTCCCACCAGGGCCCAATCGCCTTTGAGGACGTGGCTGTCCATTTCTCTTTGGAGGAGTGGGGTCTTCTGAATCCTGGTCAGAAAGCTTTGCACGTGCAGATCATGGAGGAGATTCATGGGATTGTGGATTCTCTTGGTAAGGCTCCCTCATTGGTGGGGATTTCTATTTCACAATGCAGGATCCCGGTCAGCAGTTCCTTAGTGTGAGCAGTGATGTCTGTGTGATGACCTGTTGGACATTTTAATATTCACAGAATCATAGAATCAATTGGAAGTGGCCTCGTGGGCCATCCAGGATGGTTTGGAGGAACTCTCCTGTTTCTCAAAACCAATGTCAAGTGCGGTGTTATGTGGATGTCACTATATCTGGCCAAGTCCTGCAGACATTCGGTTTTTTTGTTCCCTTCTCTGCCTTCATCATTGTTCTCCCCCTTTTTACAGTCACTATCTTGAGAGAGAAATAAAAAGGAGGGAACGATTGTGAATTGGGTGATAGAAAGGCAAAGTTTTAGCTAGAGAAAAAGGCAAGCCTTTGAATGAGAAGGGAAAAGGCATCCTGTCCCCCAGAAGAAGGAGACAGAATAAAAAGCCAGGCTAGGCTGAGGAAAACATAGCCTTTGGAGCATATGCTACTCACCTCTCCCTTAGAGGCTCCAGGCGGTTAAACAGTGTCCATCTTTGCTGAAAATTGGATGGGGAGAGAACCACATTTATATCTTCTTTCTTCCATATCTATGTTATATAAAGGATCACTTTAATCTCCTTCTTACAACACTTTTCTAGTCCTTATCACTCACACAGATGAATTATTGTTTCTTTCCTCCTTCTCTACAGCAGCTAACCAGAACACCCAACACAGGAAGCATTTGGGACACAATGGGGGTCTTTCTAGACACCAGCAAAGCCAGAGAGAAGATGGAGATTCTGCCAGAGAAAGGCCTTACAAATGCAATGTATGTGGGCAGTGTTTTACCCAAAATATAGGACTTATACTTCACCAGACACTCAGTGCTGGGAAAAGCCATTGTCAGTTGAAAGTATCAGCAAAATATGTTGCTGATTACAAACTGCCAGATCTAGGTCAAGAAGAAATCTTTAAAGGAACGGAGGATGTCATAAACCAGGAATGTGGGAGATGTTTTGCTTCCAGTTCACAGTTGGTGAGCCACAAAAAACTCCACACAAGAGAGAAGCCATACCAATGCAAGGAGTGTAAGAAATGTTTTACTTGGAAGTCATCAGTTCTCAGACACTTATGTATCCATACAGGAAAAAAACCATACCAGTGCCAGGAGTGTGGGAAATGTTTTGCTCGCAGTTCAGACTTGGCAAAGCACAAAAGACTCCACACAGGAGAGAAGCCATACCAATGCCAGGAGTGTGGGAAATGTTTTGCTCGCAGTTCATACTTGGTCAGCCACAAAAAACTCCACACAGGAGAGAAGCCATATCGATGCCAGGAGTGTGGGAAGTGTTTTGCTGACAGTTCGGCCTTGGTGAGGCACAAGAGACTCCACACAGAAGAGAAGCCATACAAATGCCAGGAGTGTGGGAAATGTTTTGTTCACAGTTCACAGTTGGTGAGCCACAATAAACTCCACACACGACAGACGCCATACCAATGCCAGGAGTGTGGGAAATGTTTTGCTTACAGTTCAGAATTAGTGCGGCACAAAAGATTCCACACAGGAGAGAAACCATACCATTGCCAGGAGTGTGGGAAATGTTTTGCTGTTAATTCAGCCTTGGTGAGACACAAAAGAGTCCACACAGGAGAAAAGGCATACAAATGCCAGGAGTGTGGGAAATGTTTTGCTTACAGTTCATACTTAGTGTGCCACAAAAGACTTCACACAGGAGAGAAGCCATTCCAATGCCAGGAGTGTGGGAAATGTTTTATTCAACGTTCAGACTTGGTGAGCCACAAAAGAGTCCACACAGGAGAGAAGCCATACCAATGTCACGAGTGTGGAAAATGTTTTGCTCAGAGTTCAAAATTGATGAGGCATAAAAAACTTCACACAGGAAAGAATGGGTAAAAGTTCCAGGAGCGTGGGAAATGTTTTACTCAGAATACACTCTTTATAGACCACTGGAGATCCCACACAAGAAGGAAACCATACCAATACCAGGAGTGTGGAAAATGTTTTGCTGACAGCTCACAATTTGTGAGCCACACAGGTGTCTGTTGAGGCCAAGCCAAAGGAAAAGATGTTTCCACTATTATTTCTCTTGATGTCAGATTATACCTCTGTATAGAATTTACTGGGTGTATTCTTGCTCCTGGCACACTGCTGAGCCATAATAAATAGAAAAACATGAGCCTTATTATTCTTTTCAATTTGAATCTATGATAACCTATTATGAGCATTTGAATCAAATTATCTATGAAAAATTTGATATATTTTACAAAATTCAAGCCCTTGGGTTTGTATTGTAGGGAAACAAATGTTTCTGTGTAGATTAACAATCCTAATGTTTGCATAATAAATACAAGCTTTCCAACTAGTTCGTGGCATAGAGACATTTTACTCAAAAATAGAAATAAAGGAAACACCTGGCAGAGGAAAACATGACCAGAATATGAAATCTAGAAAAGAGTGTTCTTTATGGGAACATTGGGGTCCCTTATATTATCTCATGTCATCATCCGATGGCTCATGCAATGTGATGTTATTGTCTAATGGCAGACCACTACAGACGGGGAAGTGAGACTGAGGACCCTTCTTCAATGCCACATTATCTGCTTTGAACTGAGTTATATGAGTCTGTACTGCCATATTATCAAGTTCAAAGCAAATAATCTAGATTTTATATGGCAATGTAGAAGGCCTCTGAGGTCATAGAGCAGCATTTTCAACCTGGGGGTCGGGACCCCTATGGGGGTTGTGAGGGGATTTCAGAGGGGTTGCCAAACACTACCAGAAAACACATTATTTCTGATGGTCTTGTGAACCCCTTTGGCAGAGAAGACTGAAGATCTCTCTGCCTTTCCTACTCTTTCTTTTGGAAACTGAGAACGAATCCTCCCACCAAAAGCTCTCCTCTGCTGTGATTGGCCAGCCAAGGGGAGGGCTGTTTCTGAAACGCCAAGCAGGGGAGGGGAAAGCAGGCGTTCTTGGCGCATGGCAGCGTGGTGCACATTTGTGGGCAAGGGAGAGCATGTGAGGCTGGAGGGAGGCTTGTGACAGCGAGTCCCTTCAAAGCATGGGAGTTCTGTGTGGGAAGTCTGGCCCAAGTTTGGTCCAGATCCATCATAGTTTGAGTCCATAGTGCTCTCTGCATGTAGGGGAACTACAACTCCAGAACTCAAGGTCAGTGCCCACCAAACCCTTCCAGTATTTTCTGTTGGTCATGGGAGTTATGTCTGTCAAGTTTGGTTCAATACCATCTGTGACGATGTGTAAATTTTGTTCCTTTGATTATGTGTAATTTAAATAGTAGTTTATGGATGGTAAGTATGGAGGATTATGTTTTGTTGGAGATGGTAGCTTGGCATTAGCTGGGTTGCCATAGCAACAGTGGCGGAGCCAACTGCCTCTTCACGACGCAGCTTTTAAAAAAGAGTCAGTCAGTAAGCCGGTGAGCTACTGCGTAGACTGAGTCTCTGGGTGGAGATTCAGGGAATGTGTCTGTAGCCGGTGTGCTATAGGGTAGACTGCTATAGGGTAAGCTTCAACCGCACGCTCCTTCACACCATCCTTTTTACCATTCATGCAGGATTTTAAAGAAGAAAATGTTTATTATTTTACTGACAAGAAACCACAATATGTCACACCAAATGAGATCTATATGCTGGATTTCATATCACAAAATCACAAGTCGATTCTGATTGTAGGTGAATTATAAATCCCTGCAACTACAACCCCCAAATGTCAAGGTCTATTTTCCCCAATCCCCACCAGTGTTCGTACTTGGGCATTTGAAGTATTTGTGCCAAGTTCGGTCCCAGATCCATCATTGTTTGAGTCCACAGTGCTCTCTGGACGTAGGGGAACTACAACTCCAAAACTCAAGGTTAGTGCCCACCAAACCCTTCCAGTATTCTCTGTTGGTCTTGGGAGTTCTGTCTGTCAAGTTTGGTTCAATTCCACTGCTGGTGAAGTTGAGAATGTTCTTTGATTGTAGATAAACTATAAATCTCAGCAACTACAATTCCTAAATGACAAACTCAATCCCCACCACCACCCCACTAGTATTCGAATTTTGGCGTTTCAGGTATTTGTGCCAAATTTGGTCCAGTGAATGAAAATACTGTTATGACGATTCAGAACAGTAGCAAAATTACAGTTATGAAATAGCAATAAATTATAATGTTATGGTTGGGAGTCACCACTACATGAGGAACTGTATTAAGGGGTCACGGCTTTAGGAAGGGTGAGAAGCACTGCTGTAGACCATTGAAGTGGAGAAAACTTCTCTTCACATTGATGAGAATTAGTTGGGTGATAATAGAGGAGCTTCCCATTGAAAGATGAAGTTTAGTCTGTCCCAAGGCCTCTCTCAGTGCTGCTCTGATCAAGACATTGAACAGGATGTATTTTCCCTCAATAGTTGAATGCTTGTGAGGCAGCCCTGCATCTGAAGGGGTCAAGGAAGGGTTAAGGGGAGGGAGGTTGGATTCCTAGAGAGGAAGGAAGGAAGGAAGCCAGGGAGGAGGAGGAGCCCAGTCCTCCAGAGTCTTGCCTTGACCACCTCCTCCTCCTCTCCTTGGGCAGCCTTCCTCTCCTCCTGGGAGTCTCAGTCCCAGATTCGCTTCAATGGGATGAAGATCTGTACTTGCTATATTTCTGTTACTAGTGAAACAGATTCCCATAAATAACAAAGGGAAATGCCACGCTTGCTTTTGCAGTCAGGGAATGCTTTCAAGCTGAAGGGGGTTGAATCCGTGGATAGAGAGGGGTGAGTGTAGCATGTCCTTGCAGGCAAAGTGAATGGGCTGTGGTTGAAAAACCAAATACCGCAATGTAATGGTTGGAAAGATCTTGGAAGGAGTGGAGATTTCATTGAATCAAGCATCACGTTAGTTTTCGTTACAAGAAAGGTTTATGGATCATGTGGCATCAGTGGCAGGAATCAAAGGGGATTCAGTGTGGGTTGGGACTGAAGGGGAGCTCAATGGGAGGCCAGGTGAGGCCAGGTGGGTCTGGAGAAGCAGATGTCCAAGTGGAAGGAGGGCCCAGCATTACCTGGCTCTGCAATAAATAAGAGCTTGTTATTTCACTCTCCAAGGAAAAGCCTCTCAAAGCCGGTGGTCTAATTCTGCTTTTCCTTCACAGAGGAAAAGTGACGGTTGTCTGAGAATGTTGGAGTAGAGCCTGTTCAGGGAAACACGGAGGAGGAAGGCATCTTGGGTCCAGTTTGTTTCTTCACCAAACAGTGGTTCCAACATGGCGAGACCAAACTCACCTGGAATTGAATCTGGACTTGGGAGCAATGGTGAATCCTGGGGAAAAACAACACATAAGTTCCTAAGTGTGGACCTTTATAGTTCACTCATACAGTTCAGGCATTCCTCCTTCCGAGAGGGCAAGGGACCCAGAGAGGTTTGCAGCCGCCTCCACGATCTCTGCCGCCAGTGGCTGAAGCCAGAGCAACACACCAAGGCGGAGATGCTGGACCTGGTGATCCTGGAGCAGTTCCTGAGCATCCTGCCCCCAGAGATGGGGAGCTGGGTCCGAGAGTGTGGGGCAGAGACCTCTTCCCAGGCGGTGGCCCTGGCGGAAGGCTTCCTCCTGAGTCGGGCAGAGGACGAGAAGCAGGAAGGACAGGTGAGAGCATTGCCTCTTGGCTTCACTCAAGTTGGGACTGATGTATAGATTAAACATTACATCCTGCCTTCCTTCCAAGATGGCACCTGTGACAGAGATAAGTCAAACTCTGCTCCTTCAGCCTCTTTTCCCATCTGCACTCACCTCCATATCCACTGTAAGCTCAGTCGCTGCTCTACTCAATTTGTTGATCTCCAGAAATGAAAATGATGGGAGGGGAAGTGTGGCATTTGTTTCAAACTAGGTTGCCATCTCAGGGTTATTTTTTTTTTAAAAAGTCTATAGGTCTGTGATATCTTTGAACTCTCTCCATATTTCTTCTTAGGCAATCCCTTGTTGTCCGAGTAGGATTATCTTACAAGATCAGTGAAAAGAAGCAAGGGAGTTGAGGGATAATTTATTGTTGCCACCAATTTGATAGTATTCAGGAGATTTTACCCCAGTTCCCAATTTTAAAAAGAACTGGCCGATTTGCAATGGAGGTTGCCGATTAGGAACCAAATTTACCATCAAGTTGGAAGGGAGGCTGTTCAATTGCACCTCCTCCTTTATTAAGGCAGTAATAACTTAGTAGTAATTACACTGTATATACTGTAGCGTGACTGGAGAGAAGAATGTAGTTTCATTTGGTTACTTTTCCCTGCGTTTCTGCCACCATGTGAGGTAAGTTGTAATATTGTGAGAAATGGCACTTGGTACACAGAATAGACGGAGCTGAGGCAATCTTCAAATAAAAGTTAACAATTTTATTAAGTACACAGCGTGTGGTTGCAAGACGTAACTTTTGTTATAGAACTTAGAACAATGCTTGGTTAGTTGAATGTTACACTCTTTCAGGTTACACAGTATCTTCCTGAGGTGAAGCACTTATTACAAAACAAAGTTTCAATACAGGGATGTCTCCCTTATCTGATCCTCCCTTGATCAGATACTTAATAAGATTATTCTTTAGCCTTTCCTTAGACTAAAGGAATACTGGCTTCGTTTCCCTTATCAGCCTCTCTAGGCTAAGAAACTTCCAGTAGCTTAATCTGGCTTTCCAAAGCCTCGAAACTTTGCTTCACAATTTACTCTCTTTCAGCTACAACCTCCTAATCCTTTCCCATACCAACTCCTCTAAACCTAAACCCTAACTCCTCACTCCTCGGAACCTAAACCCTAACTCCTCACTCCTCTGAACCTAAACCCTAACTCCTCACTCCTCTGAACCTAAACCCTAACTCCTCACTCCTCTGAACCTAAACCCTAACAGATTTTTAACTGTCATTCTTTCAAACTCTCCCCTCTAAGCTCCTCCCACTTCTCTCTCTCCTGCATCAGTCTCCATGGCAACGCACTCCTCTGACTTAGGCCGCTCCAGCATTACTGCAGCCAATCTAAACACAAATAAAATCATACAATTTATAATCAACTCCTGTACAGATTAGTGTACTGTTGGGTCCGTAGGTGACTCTGGAGCCCTATTTTTGACCTGCATCTTCTCCCGCAGTGAAGGCATCAGTTTCCAGGTGGAAGACGGTCCTGGTCGAGGTTGGCTTCGCGCCTTCATCTTGACACTTTTCTCTCTTTTGTCCTCTTCAAATTCTACAGCAGTGCTGGTCACATCTGACCTCCTGCTGGAGCGCTCAAGGGCCAGGGCTTCCCAGTTCTCAGTGTCTATGCCAAAGTTTTTAAAGTTAGCTTTGAGCCCATTTTTAAATCTTTTTTACTGCCCACCAACATTCCGTTTTCCGTTCTTGAGTTCAGAGTAGAGCAACTGCTTTGGGAGATGGTAGTCGGGCATCTGGACAATGTGGCTGGTTCAGCGGAGTTGATGGCGGATGACCATCTCTTCAGTGCTAGTGGTCTCTGGTTCTTCCAGCACACTGACACTTGTCCGCTTGTCTTCCCAAAAGATTTGCAGGATTTTCCAGAGGCAGCGCTGGTGGAATCGTTCCAGGAGTTGCATGTTATGTCTGTAGACAGTCCATGTCTCGAAGGCATATAGCAGGGTTGGGAGGACAATAGCTTTATAAACAAGCACCTTGGTATCCCTACGGATGTGCCGGTCTTCAAACACTCTCTGCTTCATTCGGAAAAAAGTTCCCTTCAGAGCTCAGGCGGTGTTGTATTTCAGTGTCAATGTTGACTTTTGTGGAGAAGTGGCTGCAAAGGTAGCTGAAATTATCAACATTTCCTGATGTTACACCTTTAAGCTGTATTTCTGGCATTGGAGAGGGATTGGCTGGTGACTGCTCCATACTACTTCTACAATACTCTATGCTCTTCAATATGAGAGTTGGTAGATGTAAATAAACATAAGCAGAAGCTTTACTATAGTATTTAAACCAAGATATACCCTGCAGTATAATGAAATATCACTCAGGCTTATGTAACAGTATCTTTCCTTCAGTTCAAAAGTTCAAACAGCAATCTATTCAACAGAGGAATGAAATGGTCCTTTTAAAATTGTCTTTAAAATATGCCTCATGCCATAAAACGATCAGTCTTCAAGAGAGTTGGCAGCCAGCAATCTCTTCGCTGTCCAAAGTAAGAATGGCAGTTAGAACTCTTGGTCTCAGCAGCAAGCCAGAGGCAGCAGCCAATCAGAACTCTGGCTCCTGGCACACTCAGCCAATCAGCTGCTGACTCATGGCTCTCCAGTTAACCCACCATATCATGGCGTCCTTTTTCCAATCCTCCCATTCCAGGCCCAAAATGGCTGCATGGAAGCCCACCYGGATGTCCCTGAATCAGAGGAACCCCCACCAGGCCCCACCCAGAGCCTCCAGCAGAAGGAGCTCAAGCAGGAAGGAGACGGGGCTGCGGCCTTRGAGGGTAAGGAGGAACCCTTTGGGATGGTTTCCTCTTTTATGCTGGTGTGAATTCCCTGTTGTTATTGTGGCACATCCCTAATCAGTTGGAGATTGAAATTGTGCACATCCAGGATCATTGGCCTTGAGATAGGTATATATGTAGGCATTTGGTTTCAAAAGGTGTGATTTCATTGGGATTTGCAGTTTTCTTTCTTACAATACTTGTACATTATCCTAAAGCTGGATCTGACTGAAAATTCAGTCGTTCAGTGTCTTCCCAGGTGGGACCCGAGGCCAAGATGAGGCCTGAAACTGAGATGGAAGAGAAACAGACAACAAAGAATAATTTTAGACTATTGAAATACCAAGCCCAGTATTAGTTTCGATCCAAGATACTGAAAGCACTGTTTGAGATGAAATGGCCTAAACTCCAAGACTTTACATATTCCTGGGCTGGAGAATTCTCCTGTCTTCATAGGGTCATTTCCTCATAGGTTTCTTTTCAGGACTGTAATTGTCACCTCTGAGAGATGTTTATGTGTTCAGCTTTCCACACCTCGCTCTCTCTCTCTCAGGGGCTAGAATGATGTTTTTGCTGAATCCACAGTCGAGTCTTCCCTTTTGTGATGGAGTGGAACTGAATCAGGTAAGCAGAAAATCCTAACTGTTGTACCAAGGGCTTGAGACAAGTCAATATCGAAGGCCTGATGGAACCACTAAGTCTTCAAGTTCTTAAGGAAGGAAGTGAGGGATGGGGCCCACCTTATCTCCTTGGGGAGGGCATTCCAGAGGCAGGGGGCCACCAAGGCCTCTCCCTCGCCCCCACCAACCGAGCTTCTAATGGTGGTGGGAGCGAGAGGAGAGCCTCCCCGGTGGAACTTAGTGTTCTCGCCGGTTCAAAGAGGGAGATGCGATCGCGGAGATAGGCGGGGCCTGAAACGTTTAGGGCTTTACAGGTGCACTGCTGAACAGCTCTCACAGTCAGGAAGTTCTTGCTAATGTTCAGGTGGAATCTCCTTTCCTGTAGTTTGAAGCCATTGTGAAACAGAAAAGATTGAAGCAACAGAAATATAAATCATTTCAAAGAGATTTTTGTAATTCTATATCTTCATTTCCCTGATTTGTGAAGGGAGTGTTTTTTTTTTTTCCTACCAGGGCCCAATCGCCTTTGAGGACGTGGATGTCCATTTCTCCCTGGAGGAGTGGGTTCTCCTGAATCCTGGTCAAAAAGTCTTGCACGTGCAGATTATGGAGGAGATTCATGGGATGGTGGACTCTCTTGGTAAGGCTCCCTCATTAATGGAGATTTCTGTTTCAAAATGCAGCATCCCAATCAGCAGCTCCCTGGTGGAAGTAATTCCCAAAATCATCCCAATCACAGAGGGTCCTCAAGGCAGGGCTTATGTTAGAAATATATGACATACTAGTAATGTATGGGTTCCTTGGTCTTTCTGATACAGAGAACAATCTCCCCTCTTTTTGTCTCAGCTGATTTACTATTTCAAAGTGGCATGTTTTAGGAACTATTACAGCTTCTCCTCTTGACCGAAACCTACTTTTTGAACTTTCTTAGGCCCTCAGGTGGGATGTGGCTTTCATGTTTTACTTTCTTCATGGTTGATGTCTGTGTGATGACCTGTTGGACATTTTAATATTCACAGAATCATAGAATCAATTGGAAGAGACCTTGTGGGTCATCCAGGATGGTTTGGAGGCACTCTCCTGTCTCTCAAAACCGATGTCAAGTGCGGTGTTACGTGGATGTCACTATATCTGGTCGAGTCCTGCAGACATTCTTTTTACGTTCCCTTCTCTTCCTCCATCATTGTTCTCTCCTTTTTCTTTATAGTCACTATCTTGGGAGAGAAATAAAAAGGAGGGAACAATTGTGAAATGGGTGATAGAAAGGCAAAGTTTTAGCTAGAGAAAAAGGAAAGCCTTTGAATGTGAAGGGAAAAGTCACCCTTTCTCACAGGAAGGAGGAGACAGAATAATAAAAAGCCAGGGTAGGCTGAGGAAAACATAGCCTTTGGAGCGTATGCTACTCACCTCTCCCTTAGAGGTTCTAGGCAGTTAAACAGTGTCCATCATTACTGAAAAAAGGGGTGGGGAGAGAATTGCATTTATATCTTCTTTTCCTCCATATCTATGTTTTATAAAGGATTATTTCAATCTCCTTCTTATACCACTTCCCAAGAGTCCTTATTACTCACACAGAGGACTGATTGTTTCTTTCCCCCTCCTTCACAGCAGATAACTGGAACACCAAACGTTTGGGACACAATGGGGGCCTTCCTAGACACCAGCAAACCCACAGAGAAGATGGAGCTTCTGCCAGAAAAAGGCCTTACAAATGCAATGTATGTGGGCAGTGTTTTACCCAAAGTAAGGGACTTGTACTTCACAAGACACTCAGTGCAGAGAAAAGCCATTGTCGGTTGAAAGCATCAGCAAAATGTATTGCTGCTTACAAACTGCCAGATCTGAGCCAACAAGAAATCTTTGTAGGAACTGAGGATTTCATAAACCAGGAGTGTGGGACAAGTTTTGCTGATGGTTCACAATTGATGAGGCACAAAAAGGTCTACACAAGAAAGAAGCCATACCAATGTAAGGAGTGTAAGAAATGTTTTCCTTGGGAGTCATCACTTCTCAGACACTGGAATATCCATACAGGAAAGAAACCATACCAGTGCCAGGATTGTGGGAAATGTTTTGCTAGAAGTTCAACCTTGGTGAGTCACAAAAGACTCCACACAGGAGAGAAGCCATACAAGTGCCAGGAGTGTGGGAAATGTTTTGGTCACAGTTCAAACTTGGTGAGGCACAAAAGACTCCACACAGGAGGGAAGCCATACAAATGCCAGGAGTGTGGGATGTTTTTTCCTAACAGTGCAACCTTGGTGAGTCACAAAAGACTTCACACAAGAGAGAAGCCATACAAATGCCAGGAGTGTGGGAAATGTTTTGGTCGCAATTCTCACTTGGTGAGGCACAAAAGACTCCACACAGGAGAGAAGCCATACAAATGCCAGGAGTGTGGGAAATGTTTTGCTTCCAGTTCAGACTTGGTGAGGCATAAAAGAGTCCACACAGGAGAAAAACCATGCAAATGCCAGGAGTGTGGGAAGTGTTTTACTAACCATTCAACCTTGGTGGGGCACAAAAACCTCCACACAGGAGAGAAACCATACCAGTGCAAGGCGTGTGGGAAAAAATTTGCTTCAAGTTCATACTTGGTGAGGCACAAAAGACTCCACACTGGAGAGAAACCATACCAGTGCAAGGTGTGTGGGAAATGTTTTGCTTCCAGTTCATACTTGGTGAGGCACAAAAGACTCCACACAGGAGAAAAGCCATACAAATGCCAGGAGTGTGAGAAGTGTTTTACTGACCGTTCAACTTTTGTGAGGCACAAAAGACTCCATGTAGGAGAAAAGACATGCAAATGCCAGGAGTGTGGGAAGTGTTTTGCTAACAGTTCGGCCTTGATGAGGCACAAAATACTCCACACAGGGGAGAAGCCATACAAATGCAAGGAGTGTGGGAAATGTTTTGCTCACAGTTCAGACTTGGTGAGCCACAAAAGAGTCCACACAGGAGAGAAGCAATACCAATGCCAAGATTGTGGAAAGTTTTTTGCTTCTAGTTCATACTTAGTGAGCCACAAAAGATTCCACACAGGAGAAAAGCCATACAAATGCCAGGAGTGTGGGAAATGTTTTGCTTACAGTTCAGACTTGGTAAGGCACAAAAGACTCCACACAGGAGAAAAGCCATACAAATGCCAGGTGTGTAAGAAATGTTTTACTTGGGAGTCATCACTTCTCAGACACTGGAGTATCCATACAGGAAATAAACGATACCAGTGCCAGGAGTGTGGAAAATGTTTTGCTGACTGTTCAACCTTGGTGAGCCACAAAAGACTGCACACAGGAGGGAAGCCATACCAATGCCAGGAGTGTGGGAAATGTTTTGGTTACAGTTCACACTTGGTGAGACACAAAAGACTCCACACAGGAGAGAAGCCATACAAATGCCAGGAGTGTGGGAAATGTTTTACTCAGAGTTCACAATTGATGAGGCACAAAAAACTTCACACAGGAAAGAAATAGTAAAAGTGCCAAGAGTGTAGGAAATGTTTTACACAGAATACACCCCTTATTGACCACTGGAGATCCCACACAGGAGGGAAGTCATATCTACGTCAAGAGAGTGGGAAATGTTTTGCTGACAGTTCACAATTTGTGAGCCAGAAATGACTCCACATAGGAGAGAATCCTTACTAATGCCCGGAGGAAGTGTTTTACTCAGACTCTATCTGTTAACGAAAAACAGTTAATACAAACAGGCTACAAAACAGTCTTTGTGTGTAAACATCTGATTTCAAACAGGACTGTTTGAGAAGTTCTGCTTAAGACTCGGTAAAGTCTCCTTAAAATGCATATCCACAAAATAATAACAAAAAAGAATATAAGAAAATCAAAACAACAACATTAAACACTATCTAAAACAAACATCAATACCAAACAATCAATAGTAAAGGAAGAGATGTTTCCACTATTATTTCCCTTGATGTGTACAAATTGTATCTCTAGTTAGAATTTACTGCCTGTTAATTTGCTTCTGGCACTCTGCTAATCCACAGTAAACAGAAAAACATGAGCCTTTGTATTATTTTGGAATGTACAGTATTATATGAGTATTTGACTCTATGATAACCTATTTTGAGTATTTGAATCAAATTGTGAGAAATTTGATACGTTTTGCAAAATTAAAGCCCTTGGGTTTTGTATTGTAAGGAAACAGATGTTTCTGGGTAGAGTAAGAATAACAATCCTAAAGTTTGCATAATGAATACAAGTTTTCCATCTCTGGGGCATAGAGACATTTTACTCAGAAACAGAAAAGGAAATGTGCGGCAGAGGAAAACATTAAAAACATGACCAGAACATGAAATCCAGAAAAGAGTGTACTTCATTGGAACATTAGGGTCACTTATATTATCTCATGGGATCATCTGATGGCTGATGCAATGTGATGTTATCGTCTAATGACAGACCACTACAGACGGGGAAGTGAGACTGAGGCCCCTTCTACAATGCCACACTGTCTGCTTTGAACTGAGTTATATGAGTCTGCACTGCGATATTATCAAGTTCAAAGCAGATAAGCTGGATCTTCTACGGCAATGTAGAAGGCCTCTAAGGCTAGAGAGCAGCGTTTCTCAACCTGGAGGTTAAGACTCCTGTGGGGGTCGTGAGGAGGTTTCAGAGGGGCTGCCAAAGACCACCAGAAAATGCATGATTTCTGATAGTCTTGGGAACCCCTTTGGCGGAGAAGACTCAAGATCTCTCCGCTTGTCCTTCTCTTCCTTTTGGAAACTGACAGCGAATCCTCCCACCAAAAGCTCTCCTCTGCTGTGATTGGCCAGCCAAGAGGAGGGCTGTCTCTGAGACTCCAGGCCGGGGAGGGGAGAGCAGGCATGCTCGGCGCATGGCAGCATGGTGCACATGTGCGGGTGATGGAGAGCATGCGAGATTTGAGGGAAGCTTGTGCCAGCAAGTCCCTTCAAGGCGTGGGAGTTGTGTGGGAAGTCTGGCCCAGGTTTGGTCTAGATCCATCATTGTTGCTCTCTTCATGTAAGGGAACTACAACTCCAGAACTCAAGGTTAGTGCCCACGAATCCCTTCTAGAATTTTCTGTTGGTTATGGGAGTTCTGTCAAGTTTAGTTCAATCCCATCATTGGTGGAGTTCAGAATGCACTTCGATTATTGGTGAATTATAAATCCCAGCCATTACAACTCCCAAATGTCAAGGTCTATTTCCCCCACTCCCCACCATTGTTCATATTTGGGCATACTGAGTATTTGTGCCAGGTTTGGTGCCTGATCCATCATTGTTTGTGTCCACAGTGCTCTCTGGATGTAGGAGAACTACAACTCCTAAACTCAAGGTGAATGCCCACCAAACCCTTGCAGTATTTTTGTTGGTATTGGGCATTCTGTCTGCCAAGTTTGGTTCAATTCCATTATTGGTGGAGTTAAAAATGCTCTTTCATTGTAGGTGAACTATAAATCCCAGCAACTACAACTCCCAAATGACAAGATCAATCCACCCACAACATCATTGGTATTCAAATTTGGCGAATCAGGTATTTGCACCCAATTTCGTCCAGTGAATTAAAATACATCCTGCATATCAGATATTTACATTACAATTCATAACAGTAGCAAAATTACAGTTATGAAGTAGCAACAAAAAAATGTTATGTTTGGGGCTCACCACAACATGAGGAACTGTACTAAGGGGTCACGGCACTAGGAAGGTTTGGAACCACTGCTCTAGACCATTGAAGTGGCTTCATCACATAAATAGCCAGTGAAATGTCACTTTCCAGTCGCTGGGAAAAACTTCTTTTCACATTGATGAGAATGAGCTGGGTGATAATAGAGGAGCTTCCCATTGAAAGATGAAGTTTAGTCTGTCCCAAGGCCTTCCCCAGTGCTGCTCTGATCAAGACATTGAACAGGATGTATCTTCCCTAAATAGTTGAATGCTTGTGAGGCAGCCCTGCATCTGAAGGGGTCAAGGAAGGGTTAAGGGGAGGAAGGTTGGATTCCTAGAGAGGAAGGAAGCCAGGGAAGAGGAGGAGCCCAGTCCTCCAGAGCAGGCCATCCTTCCTTGACCACCACCTCCTCCTCTCCTTGGGCAGCCTTCCTCTCCTCCTGGGAGTCTCAGTCCCAGATTCCCTTCAGTGGGCTGAAAATCTGTACTTGCAGGCAGGGAATGTTTTCAAGCTGAAGGGGGTTGAATCCGTGGATACAGAGGAGTGAGTGTGGGTACCTACCTCAATCAAGCGTCACATTAGTTTTCGTTACAAGAAAGGTTTATGGATCATGCGGCGTCAGTGGCAGGAATCAAGGGGGATTCAGTGTGGGTTGGGACTGAAGGGGAGCTCAATGGGAGGCCAGGTGGGTCTGGAGAAGCAGAGGCCCCAGTGGAAGGAGGGCCCAGCATTACCTGGCTCTGCAATAAATAAGGGCTTGTTATTTCACTCTCCAAGGAAAAGCCTCCCAAAGCCGGTGGTCTAATTCTGCCTTTCTTTTACAGAGGAAAAGTGATTGTTGTCTGAGAATGATGGAGTAGAGCCTGTTCAGGGAAACGAGGAGGAGGAAAGCATCTTGGGTCCAGTTTGCTTCTTCACCAAACAGTGGTTCCAACATGGCGAGACCAAAATCACCTGGAATTGATTCAGGACTTGGGAGCAGTGGTGAATCCTGGGAGAAAACAACACACAAGTTCCTAAGTGTGGACCTTTATACTTCACTCATACAGTTTAGGCATTCCTCCTTCCGAGAGGGCGAGGGACCCAGAGAGGTTTGCAGCCGCCTCCACTCTCTCTGCCGCCAGTGGCTGAAGCCAGAGCAACACACCAAGGCGGAGATGCTGGACCTGGTGATCCTGGAGCAGTTCCTGAGCATCCTGCCCCCAGAGATGGGGAGCTGGGTCCGAGAGTGTGGGGCAGAGACCTCTTCCCAGGCAGTGGCCCTGGCAGAAGGCTTCCTCCTGAGTCAGGAAGAGGACGAGAAGCAAGAAGGACAGGTGAGAGCATTGCCTCTTGGCTTCACTCAAGTTGAGACTGATATAGATTAAACATACATCCTGCCTTCCTTCCAAGATGGGACCTGTGACAGAGATAAGTCAAACTCTGCTCCCTCAGCCTCTTTTCCCACCTGCACTCACCTCCATATCCACTGTAAGCTCAGTCGCTGCTCTACTCAATTTGTTGATCTCCAGAAATAATATTGAAAATGATGGGAGGGGAAGTGTGGCATTTGTTTCAAACTAGGTTGCCATCTCAAGGTTATTCTATAGGTCTGTGATAGCTTTGAGCTCTCTCCATACCACTTCTACAATACTCTCTGCTCTTCCATGTGAGAGTTGGCAAATGTATATAAACACAAGCAAATGCTTTACCACAGTTTTTAAACCAAGATATACCCTGCAGTATAATGAAATATCACTCAGTCTTATATAACAAGTAACAGTATCTCTACTTCAGTTCGGAAGTTCAAACAGTACAACAATCTATACTACAGTTAATCTGAGTTCGGGCAGAGGAATTAAATAGTCCTTTTAAAATAGTCTTTAAAATATGCCTCATGCCATAAAATGATCAGTCTTCAAGACAGTTGGCAGCCAGCAATCCCTTCGCTGTCCAAAGTGAGAATGGCAGTTAGAACTCTTGGTCTCAGCAGCAAGCCAGAGGCAGCAGCCAATCAGAACTCTGGCTCCTGGCACACTCAGCCAATCATAGAATCATAGAATCAAAGAGTTGGAAGAGACCTCATGGGCCATCCAGTCCAACCCCCTGCCAAGAAGCAGGAAATTTGCATTCAAATCACCCTTGACAGATGGCTATCCAGCCTCTGTTTAAAAGCTTCCAAAGAAGGAGCCTCTACCACACTCCAGGGCAGAGAGTTCCACTGCTGAACGGCTCTCACAGTCAGGAAGTTCTTCCTCATGTTCAGATGGAATCTCCTTTCTTGTAGTTTGAAGCCATTGTTCCGCGTCCTAGTCTCCAAGGAAGCAGAAAACAAGCTTGCTCCCTCCTCCCTGTGGCTTCCTCTCACATATTTATACATGGCTATCATATCTCCTCTCAGCCTTCTCTTCTTCAGGCTAAACATGCCTAGCTCCTTAAGCCGCTCCTCATAGGGCTTGTTCTCCAGACCCTTGATCATTTTAGTCGCCCTCCTCTGGACACATTCCAGCTTGTGGACACAATCAGCTGCTGCACATGGCTCTCTGGTTAACCCACCATATCATGGCGTCCTTGTTCCAATCCTCCCATTCCAGGCCCAGAATGGCTGCATGGAAGCCCAGCCTGATGTCCCTGAATCAGAGGAACCCCCACCAGGCCCCACCCAGAGCCTCCAGCAGAAGGAGATCAAGCAGGAAGGAGACGGGGCTGTGGCCTTGGAGGGTAAGGAGGAACCCTTTGGGGTGTTTTCCTCTTTTATGCGGGTGTGAATTCCCCTTTGTTATTGTGGCACATCCCCATCAATTGGAGATTGAAATTGTGCACATCCAGGATCATTTGGCCTTGAGATGGGTATATATGTAGGCATTTGGTTTCAAAAGGTGTGATTTCATTGGGATTTGCAGTTTTCTTTCTTGCAATACTTGTACATTAGCCTAAAGCTGGATCTGACTGGAAATTCAGTCTTTGAGTGTCTTCCCAGGTGGCACCCGTGGCCAAGATGAGGCCTGAAACTGAGCTGGAAGACAAACAGACAACAAAGAATAATTTTAGACTATTGAAATACCAAGCCCAGTACTAGTTTCGATCCAAGCTACTTAAAGCACTGTTTGAGATAAATTGGCCTAAACTCCAAAACTACATATTCCTGGGCTGGAGAATGCTCCGGTCTTCATAGGGTCATTTCCTCATAGGGTTCTTTTCAGGACTGTAATTGTCCCCTCTGAGACATATTTATGTGATTACTTTCCACCCCTTGCTCTCTCTCTCCCCCAGGGACTGAAATGATGTTGCTGAATCCACAGTCGAGTCTTCCCTTTTGTGATGGAGTGGAAGTGAATGAGGTAAGCAGAAGGATTCCTGGGAGAGGAGGAATGGGGCTGCCTGGGGTCATTGGTTCCAGGCTCAATCATAGAATCCTTGAGTTGGAAGAGACCTTGTGAGTCATCCAGTCCAACCCCCTCCCAAGAAGCAGGAAAATTACATTCAGAGCACCCCCGACAGATGGCCATCCAGTCTCTGTTTAAAAAGCTGTCAAAGAAGGAGTCTCCACCACACTCTGGGGTAGAGAGTTAAAATAACAATATATAGTAAAAGGTTATCTATATACCGCCCTATCTCCCCGAGGGGACTCAGAGGGAATGGATAAGGTACAAGACCAAGTCCTAACTGTTGGACCAAGGGCTTGAGACTTGAGACTAGTCATTATCAAAGGCCTGATGAAACCACCAAGTCTTCAAGTTCTTACGGAAGGAGGTGAGTGATGGGGCCAGTCCTATCTCCTTGGGGAGGGCATTCCAGAGGCAGGGGGCCACCACCGACAAGGCCCTCTCCCTCGTCCCCACCAACCAGACTTGAGACGGTGATGGGAACGAAAGGAGGGCCTCCCCGGTAGATCTTATTGTCCGCGCTGGTTCAAAGAGGGAGATGCGATCGCGGAGATAGGCGGGGCCTGAAACATTTAGGGCTTTAGAGGTGCACTGCTGAACAGCTCCCACAGTCAGGAAGTTCTTGCTAATGTTCAGGTGGAATCTCCTTTCCAAGAAAAGATTTAATCAACAAAAATGTAAATAATTTCAAAGAGATTCCTGTAATTCTTTTTCTTGAAGTCCCTGATGTGAGACGGAAATGTGTTTGTTTTCCTACCAGGGCCTAATTGCCTTTGAGGACGTGGATATCCATTTCTCCCTGGAGGAGTGGGTTCTCCTAAATCCTGGTCAAAAAGTCTTGCACGTGCAGATCATGGAGGAGATTCATGGGATGGTGGACTCTCTTGGTAAGGCTCCCTCATTGATGGGGATTTCTAATTCAACATGCAGCATCCCAATCAGAAGCTCCCTGGTTGAAGTAATTTCCAAAATCATCCCAATCACGGAGGGTCCTCAAGGCAGGGGTTATGTTAGAAATATATGACATACTAGTAATATATGAGCCCCTTAGACTTTCTGGTACAGAAAACAATCTCCCTTCTTTTCTCTCAGCTGATTTGCTATTTCAAGGTGTTATGTTTTAGGAACTATTCAAGTTCTCTTCCTGTCCTAAACCTCCATTTGGACTTTCTTAGGGTCTCGGGACTTTGGCTTTTGTGTTTTACTTTCTTCATGTGTGATGTCTGTGTGATAACCTGTTGGACATTTTAATATTCATAGAATCATTGAGTTGGAAGGGACCTCGTGGGCCATCCAGGATAGTTTGGAGGCACTCTCCTGTCTCTCAAAACCGATGCCAAGAGCGGTGTGATGTGGATGTCAATATATCTGGCCATGCCCTACAGACATTCTTTTTTCCTTCCCTTCTCTGCCTTCCTCGTTGTTCCCTTCTTTTTCTTTACAGTCACTATCTTGGGAGAGAAATAAAAAGGAGGGAACAATTGTGAATTGGGTGATAGATAGGCATAGTTTTAGCTAGAGAAAAGGGCAAGCCTTTGAATGAAAAGGGAAAAGTCATCCATTCCGCCAGGAAGGAGGAGACAGAATAAAAAGCCAGGCTAGGCTGAGGAAAACATAGCCTTTGGAGCATATGCTACTCACCTCTTCCTTAGAGGCTCTAGGCAGTTAAACAGTGTCCATCTTTACTGAACAAGGGGTGGGGAGAGAATTGCATTTATATCTTCTTTTTCTCCATATCTATGTTGTATAAAGGATTATTTCAATCTCCTTCTTACACCACTTTCCTAGAGTCCTTATCACTCACACAGAGGACTGATTGTTTCTTTCCTCCTCCTTTGCAGCAGATAACTGGAACACCAAACGTTTGGGACACAATGGGGGCCTTCCTAGACACCAGCAAACCCACATAGAAGATGGAGATTCTGCTAGAGAAAGGCCTTACAAATGCAATGTATGTGGGCAGTGTTTTACCCAAAATATGGGACTTGTAATTCATAAGACACTCTGTGCTGACAAAAGCCATTGTCAGTTGAAAGTATCAGCAAAATGTATTGCTGCTTACAAACTGCCAGATCTGAGCCAACAAGAAATCTTTGTAGGAAATGAGGATTTCATAAACCAGGAATGTGGGACATGTTTTGCTGACGGTTCACAATTGATGAGGCGCAAAAAAGTCCACACGAGAAAGAAGCCATACCAATGCAAGGAGTGTAAGAAATGTTTTCCTTGGGAGTCATCACTTCTCAGACACTGGAGTATCCATACAGGAAAGAAACCATACCAGTGCCAGGAGTGTGGGAAATGTTTTGCTCGCAGTTCAAACTTGGTGAGCCACAATAGAGTCCACACAGGAGAGAAGCCATACAAATGCCAGGAGTGTGGGAAATGTTTTGGTCACAGTTCAAACTTGGTGAGCCACAATAGAGTCCACACAGGAGAGAAGCCATACAAATGCCAGGAGTGTGGGAAATGTTTTGGTCACAGTTCATACTTGGTGACACACAAAAGACTCCACACAGGAGAGAAGCCATACCAATGCCAGGAGTGTGGGATGTGTTTTGCTAACAGTGCAAACTTGGTGGGTCACAAAAGACTCCACACAGGTAAGAAGTCATACCAATGCCAAGAGTGTGGGAAATGTTTTGTTTTCAATTCAGACTTGGCGAAGCATAAAAGAGTCCACACAGGAGAGAAGCCATACCAATGCCAGGAGTGTGGGAAATGTTTTGGTCACAGTTCATACTTGGTGACACACAAAAGACTCCACACAGGAGAGAAGCCATACCAATGCCAGGAGTGTGGGATGTGTTTTGCTAACAGTGCAAACATGGTGGGTCACAAAAGACTCCACACAGGTAAGAAGTCATACCAATGCCAAGAGTGTGGGAAATGTTTTGGTCGCAGTTCACACTTGGTGAGGCATAAAAGACTCCACACAGTAGAGAAGCCATACCAATGCCAGGAGTGTGGGATGTGTTTTGCTAACAGTGCAAACTTGGTGGGTCACAAAAGACTCCACACAGGTAAGAAGTCATACCAATGCCAAGAGTGTGGGAAATGTTTTGGTCGCAGTTCACACTTGGTGAGGCATAAAAGACTCCACACAGTAGAGAAGCCATACCAATGCCAGGAGTGTGGGATGTGTTTTGCTAACAGTGCAAACTTGGTGGGTCACAAAAGACTCCACACAGGTAAGAAGTCATACCAATGCCAAGAATGTGGGAAATGTTTTGGTCGCAGTTCACACTTGGTGAGGCATAAAAAACTTCACACAGGAAAGAAAGGGTAAAATGCCAGGAGTGTAGAAAATGTTTTACTCAAAATACACCCCTTATCGACCACTGGAGATCCGTGAGGCATAAAAAACTTCACACAGGAAAGAAAGGGTAAAATGCCAGGAGTGTAGAAAATGTTTTACTCAAAATACACCCCTTATCGACCACTGGAGATCCCACACAGGAGGGAAGCCATATCTATGTCATGAGAGTGGGAAATGTTTTGCAGACAGTTCACAATTTGCGAGCCACAAAAGACTCCACACAGGAGAGAATCCATACTAATGCCTGGAGGAATGTTTTTAGTCAAACTTTATCCGTTAACAAGCAACAGTGAATACAAACAGGCTACAAACAGCCTTTGTGTGTAAACATCTGATTTCAAACAGGACTGTTTGAGAAGTTCTGCTTAAGACTTGGTAAAGTCCCCTTTCTTGTCATTTGAATCTTTAAGTTTGAGGTCTTGTTCTGGAGCAGCAGAAACAAGCTCCCTTTGACAATCCTTCAGAGAGTTAAATATGATTGTCATGTCACCTATTCTGGGGCAGTTTACATGGGGCCAAGCCCAACAGAACAGTTAAAACATAATATATTAAAATGCATATCAACAAAATGATAACAAAAAACAATATAAGAAAATCAAAACAACATTAAACAGTATATAAAACAAACATCAAAAGCCAAAAAGCAGTAGTAAAGGAAGAGATGTTTCCACTATTATTTCCCTTGATGTGTACAAATTGTATCTCTCGCTAGAATTTACTGGCTGTTAACTTGCTCCTGGCACTCTGCTAATCCACAGTAAACAGAAAAAACATGAGCCTTTGTATTATTTTGGAATGTACAGTGTTATATGATGACCTATTATGAGTATTTGAATCAAATTATCTGTGAGAAATTTGATATGTTTTGCAAAATTCAAGCCCTTGGGTTTTGTATTGTAGGGAAACAGATGTTTCTGGGTAGATTAACAATCCTAATGTTTGTGTAAGAAATACAAGTTTTCCAACTCTGGGGCATAGAGACATTTTACTCAGAAACGGAATAAAAGGAAATGTGTGGCAGAGGAAAACATTAAAAACATGACCAGAACATGAAATCCAGAAAAGAGTGTACTTCATTGGAACATGAGGGTCCCTTATATTCTCTCATGTGATCTTCTGATGGCTGATGCAATAACATCATCGTCTAATGGCAGACCACTACAGACGGGGGAGTGAGACTGAGGCCCCGTCTACAAGGCCACACTATCTGCTTTGAACTGAGTTCTTTGAGACTACACTGCCATGTTATCAAGTTCAAATCAGATTATCTGGATCTTATACGGCAATGCAGAAGGTCTCTGAGGCTAGAGAGCAGCGTTTCTCAACCTGGGGGTCGGGACCCCTGTGGGGATCATGAGAGGGTTTCAGAGGGGTCGCCAAAGACCACCAGAAAACATATTTCTGATGGTCTTGGGAACTGCTTTGACAGAGAAGGCTGAAGATCTCTCTCCCTGTCCTTCTCTTCCTTTTTGGAAACTGGCAGCAAATCTTCCCACCATAACTTCTCCTCTGCTGTGATTGGCTGGCCTCCAAGTCAAGTGGAGGGCTGTTTCTGAGACTCCAAGCAGGGGAGGAGAGAGCAGGCATGCTCAGTGCGCATGTGCGGGCGAGGGAGAACGTGCGAGACTGGTGGGAGGCTTGCGCCAGTGAGTCCTTTCAAAGCATGGGAGTACTGTGTGGGAAGTCTGGTCCAATTCTATCGTTGGTGGGGTTCATGATGGTCTTTGATTGTAGGTGAACTATAAATCCCAGCAACTACAACTCCCAAATGTCAAGGTCTATTTCCCCCAATCCCCACCAGTGTTCATATTTGGGCATATTGAGTATTTGTGCCAAGTTTGGTCCAGATCCATCCATTGTCTGAGTTCACAGTGCTCTTTGAATCTAGATGAACTATAAATCCCAGCAACTATAACTCCCAAATAACAAAATCAATCCTTTCCCAACCCCCCTGGTATTCAGATTTGGGCATATCAGGTATTTGTGCCAAATTTTGTCCAGTGAATGAAAATACTTCCTTCATATCAGATATTGACATTACGATTCATAAAGGTAAAGGTAAAGGTTTTCCCCTGACATGAAGTACAGTCATGTCCGGCTCTGGGGTGTGGTACTCATCTCCATTTCTAAGCTGAAGAGTCGGCGTTGTCCGTAGACACCTCCAAGGTCATGTGGCCGGCATGACTGCATGGAGCGCCATTACCTTCCCGCCAGAGCGGTACCTATTGATCTACTCCCATTTGCATGGGAACTGCTAAGTTGGCAAAAGCTGGGGATAACAGTGGAAGCTCACCCCGCTCCTTGGATTCGAACCTGCGACCTTTCGGTCAACCCTAACCCTCAACAGTAGCAAAATTAGAGTTATAAAGTTGCAATAAAATAATGTTATGGGTGGGGGTTCCCAGAACATGAGGAACTGTATTAAAGTGTTGCGGCATTAGGAAGGGTGAGAAGAACTGATATAGGCCGTTGAAGTGGCTTCATCACATAAATAGCCAGTGGAAATGTCACTTTCCAGTCGCTTGAGAAAACCACCCTTCACATTAATGAGAATGAGTTGGGTAATAATAGAGAAGCTTCCCATTGAAAGATGAAGTTTAGTCTGTCCCAAGGCCTCCCACAGCGCTGCTCTGATCAAAACATTGAACAGGATGTATCTTCCCTAAATAGTTGAATGCTTGTGAGGCAGCCCTGCATCTGAAGGGGTCAAGGAAGGGTTAAGGGGAGGGAGGTTGGATTCCTAGAGAGGAAGGAAGCCAGGGAGGAGGAGGAGCCCAGTCCTCCAGAGCAGGGCATGCTGCCTTGACCACTTCCTCCTCCTCTCCTTGGGCAGCCTTCCTCTCCTCCTGGGAGTCTCATTCCCAGATTCCCTTCAATGGGCTGAAGATCTGTACTTGCTATATTTCTGTTACTAGTGAAACAGAATCCCATAAATAACAAAGGGAGATGCCACGCTTGCTTTTGCAGGCAGGGAATGTTTTCAAGCTGAAGGGGGTTGAATGCGTGGATACAGAGGGGTGAGTGCAGGTACCTACCTGTCCTTGCAGGCAAAGTGAATGGGCTGTGGTTGGAAAACCAAATACCGCAATGTAATGGTTGGAAAGATCTTGGAAGGAGTGGAGATTTCATTGAATCAAGCATCTCGTTACTTTTCGTTAGAAGAAAGGTTTATGGATCATGTGGTGTCAGTGGCAGGAATCACGGGGGATTCAGTGTGGGTTGTGGCTGAAGGGGAGCTCAATGGGAGGCCAGGTGGGTCTGGAGAAGCAGAGGCCCCAGTGGAAGGAGGGCCCAGCATTACCTGGCTCTGCAATAAATAAGGGCTTGTTATTTCACTCTCCAAGGAAAAGCCTCTCAAAGCCGGTGGTCTAATTCTGCCTTTCTTTCACAGAGGAAAAGTGATGGTTGTCTGAGAATGTTGGAGTAGAGCCTGTTCAGGGAAACAAGGAGGAAGAAAGCATCTTGGGTCCAGTTTGATTCTTCACCAAACAGTGGTTCCAACATGGAGACACCCAACTTACCTGGAAATGAAGCAGAACCTGGGAGCAGTGGTGAATCCTGGGAGAAAACAACACATAAGTTTCTAAGTGTGGACCTTTATAGTTCACTCATACAGTTCAGGCATTCCTCCTTCCGAGAGGGCGAGGGACCCAGAGAGGTTTGCAGCCGCCTCCACTCTCTCTGCCGCCAGTGGCTGAAGCCAGAGCAACACACCAAGGCGGAGATGCTGGACCTGGTGATCCTGGAGCAGTTCCTGAGCATCCTGCCCCCAGAGATGGGGAGCTGGGTCCGAGAGTGTGGGGCAGAGACCTCTTCCCAGGCGGTGGCCCTGGCGGAAGGCTTCCTCCTGAGTCGGGCAGAGGACGAGAAGCAGGAAGGACAGGTGAGAGCATTGCCTCTTGGCTTCACTCACCTTGGGACTGATGGATAGATTAAACGTATGCCCTGCCTTCCTTCCAGGATGGGACCTGTAACAGAGATAAGTCAAACTCTGCTCCCTCGGCCTCCCACCTGCACTCACCTCCATATCCACTGTAAGCTCAGTCGCTGCTCTACTCAATTCGTTGATCTCCAGATAACATTGAAAATGATGGGAGGGGAAGTGTGGCATTTGTCTCAAACTAGGTTGCCATCTCAGGGTTATTCTATAAATCTGTGATATCTTTGAACTCTCTCCATACTACTTCTACAATACTCTCTGCTCTTCCATGTGAGAGTTGGTAAATGTAAATAAACACAAGCAGATGCTTTACCACAGTATTTAAACCAAGTTATACCCTGCAGTATAATGAAATATCACTCAGTCTTATGTAACAAGTCACAGTATCTCTACTTCAGTTCAGAAGTTCAAACAGTACAACAATCTATACTACAGTTACTTTGAGTTCAGGAACAGAGGAGTGAAATGGTCCCTTTAAAACAGTCTTTAAAATATGCCTCACACCATAAAATGACCAGTCTTCAAGGCAGTTGGCAGCCAGCAATCTCTTCGCTGTCCAAAGTGAGAATGGCAGTTGGAACTCTTGGTCTCACCAGCAAGCCAGAGGCAGCAGCCAATCGGAACTCTCGCTCCTGGCACACTCAGCCACATGCCTCTCCGGTTAACCCACCATATCATGGCGTCCTTTTTCCAATCCTCCCATTCCAGGCCCAGAATGGCTGCATGGAAGCCCACCCGGATGTCCCTGAATCAGAGGAACCCCCACCAGGCCCCACCCAGAGCCTCCAGCAGAAGGAGATCAAGCAGGAAGGAGACGGGGCTGCGGCCTTGGAGGGTAAGGAGGAACCCTTTGGGGTGTTTTCCTCTTTTATGCGGGTGTGAATTCCCCTTTGTTATTGTGGCACATCCCCATCAATTGGAGATTGAAATTGTGCACATCCAGGATCATTTGGCCTTGAGATGAGTATATAACAACAACAATTTCAAAAGGTGAAATTTCAGTGGGATTTGCAGGGTTTATTTTCTTGCAATACTTGTACGTTAGCCTAAAGTTGGATCTGACTGAAAATTCAGTCTTTGAGTGTCTTCCCAGGTGGGACCCGAAGCCAAGAGGAGCCGTGAAACTGAGCTGGAAGAGAAAAAGACAACATAGAATAATTTTAGACTATTGAAATACCAAGCCCAGTACTAGTTTCAGTCCAAGCTACTTAAAACACTGCTTGAGATAAAATGGCCTAAACACCCAAACTTTACATACTCCTGGGCTGGAGAATTCTCCCGTCTTCATAGGATCATTTCCTCATACGTTTCTTTTCAGGACTGTAATTGTCACCTCAGAGAACTGTCTTTGTGTTCAGCTTTCCACCCTTTGCTCTGTCTCTCTCTTTCTCTCCCAGGGGCTGGAATGATGATGTTGCTGAATCCTCAGTCGAGTCTTCCCTTTTGTGATGGAGTGGAACTGAATGAGGTAAGCAGAAGGATTCCTGGGAGAGGAGGAATGGAGCTGCCTGGGGTCATTGGTTCCAGGCTCAATCATAGAATCCTTGAGTTGGAAGAGACCTTGTGAGTCATCCAGTCCAACCCCCTCCCAAGAAGCAGGAAAATTACATTCAGAGCACCCCCGACAGATGGCCATCCAGTCTCTGTTTAAAAAGCTGTCAAAGAAGGAGTCTCCACCACACTCTGGGGTAGAGAGTTAAAATAACAATATATAGTAAAAGGTTATCTATATACCGCCCTATCTCCCCGAGGGGACTCAGAGGGAATGGATAGGGTACAAGACCAAGTCCTAACTGTTGGACCAAGGGCTTGAGACTTGAGACTAGTCATTATCGAAGGCCTGATGAAACCACCAAGTCTTCAAGTTCTTACGGAAGGAGGTGAGTGATGGGGCCAGCCCTATCTCCTTGGGGAGGGCATTCCAGAGGCAGGGGGCCACCACCGAGAAGGCCCTCTCCCTCGTCCTCACCAACCAGACTTGAGACGGTGATGGGAACAAAACAAGGGCCTCCCCGGTGGATCTTAGTGTCTTCACCGGTTCACAGAGGGAGATACGATCGTGGAGATAGGTGGGACCTGAAACGTTTAGGGCTTTATAGGTGCACTGCTGAACAGCTCTTACAGTCGGGAAGTTCTTGCTAATGTTCAGGTGGAATCTCCTTTCCAAGAAAAGATTGAACCAACAAAAATGTAAATAATTTCAAAGAGATTCTTGTAATTCTTTTTCTTGAAGTCCCTGATGTGAGAAGGAAATGTGTTCTTTTTCCACCAGGGCCCAATCGCCTTTGAGGAATGGCTGTCCATTTCTCCCTGGAGGAGTGGGTTCTCCTGAGTCCTGATCAGAAAGCCTTGCACGTGCAGATCATGGAGGAGATTCATGGGATGGTGGACTCTCTTGGTAAGGCTCCCTCATTGATGGGGATTTCTAATTCAACATGCAGCATCCCAAGTAATATATGGGTCCCTTAATCTTTCTGATACCGAGAACAATCTCCCTTCTTTTCTCTCAACTGATTTGCTATTTCAAGGTGGTATGTTTTAGGAACTATTCAAGTTCTCTTCCTGTCCTAAACCTCCATTTGGACTTTCTTAGGGTCTCGGTTGGGACTGTGGCTTTTGTGTTTTACTTTCTTCATGTGTGATGTCTGTGTGATAACCTGTTGGACATTTTAATATGGGACCTCGTGGGCCATCCAGGATGGTTTGGAGGCACTCTCCTGTCTCCCAAAACCGATGCCAAGAGCGGTGTTATGTGGATGTCACTATATCTGGCCATGCCCTACCGACATTCCTTTTTTCATTCCCTTCTCTGCCTTCATCAATGTTCTCCCCCTTTTCTTTACAGTCACTATCTTGGGGGAGAGATAAAAAGGAGGTAACGGTTGTGAAATGGGTGATAGAAAGGCAAAGTTTTAGCTAGAGAAAAAGGCAAGCCTTAGAATGAGAAGGGAAAAGTCATCCATTCCGCCAGGAAGGAGGAGACAGAATAAAAAGCCAGGCTAGGCTGAGGAAAACATAGCCTTTGGAGCATATGCTACTCACCTTTCCCTTAGAGGCTCTAGGCAGTTAAACAGTGTCCATCTTTACTGAACAAGGGGTGGAGAGAGAACTGCATTTATATCTTCTTTTCCTCTGTATCTATGTTGTATAAAGGATTATTTCAATCTCCTTCTTACACCACTTTCCTAGAATCCTTATCATTCACACAGAGGACTGATTGTTTCTTTCCTCCTTCTTCGCAGCAGATAACTGGAACACTAAACATTTGGGACTCAATGGGGGCCTTCCTAGACACCAGCAACCCCACAGAGAAGAAGCTTCTGTTAGAGAAAAGCCTTACAAATGCGATGTATGTGGGCAGTGTTTTACCCAAAATGTGGGACTTGTACTTCACAAGACACTCAGTGTTGGGAAAAGCCATTGTCAGTTGAAAGCATCAGCAAAATGGATTGCTGCTTACAAACTGCCAGATCTGAGCCAACAAGAAATCTTTGTAGGAACTCAAGATTTCATAAACCAGGAGTGTGGGACACGTTTTGCTGACGGTTCACAATTGATGAGGCACAAAAAGATCCACACAAGAAAGAAGTCATACCAATGCAAGGAGTGTAAGAAATGTTTTCCTTCGGAGTTATCACTTCTCAGACACTGGAGTATCCATACAGGAAAGAAACCATACCAGTGCCAGGAGTGTGGGAAATGTTTTGCTCGCAGTTCAAACTTGGTGAGTCACAAAAGACTCCACACAGGAGAGAAGCCATACCAATGCCAGGAGTGTGGGAAATGTTTTGCTCAGAGTTCACATTTGGTGAAGCACAAAAGACTCCACGCAGGAGAGAAGCCATAACAATGCCAGGAGTGTGGGAAATGTTTGGCTTCTAGTTCAGATTACGTTCACATCAAAAGACTCACACAGGAGAGAAGCCATACCAATGCCAGGAGTGTGGGAAATGTTTTGGTTGCAGTTCACACTTGGTGAGGCATAAAAGACTCCACACAGTAGAGAAGCCATACCAATGCCAGGAGTGTGGGATGTGTTTTGCTAACAGTGCAAACTTGGTGGGTCACAAAAGACTCCACACAGGTAAGAAGTCATACCAATGCCAAGAATGTGGGAAATGTTTTGGTCGCAGTTCACCTTGGCGAGGCATAAAAGAGTCCACACAGGAGAGAAGCCATACCAATGCCAGGAGTGTGGGAAATGTTTTGGTCGCAGTTCACACTTGGTGAGGCATAAAAGACTCCACACAGGAGAGAAGCCATACCAATGCCAGGAGTGTGGGATGTGTTTTGCTAACAGTGCAAACTTGGTGGGTCACAAAAGACTCCACACAGGTAAGAAGTCATACCAATGCCAAGAATGTGGGAAATGTTTTGGTCGCAGTTCACACTTGGTGAGGCATAAAAAACTTCACACAGGAAAGAAAGGGTAAAATGCCAGGAGTGTAGAAAATGTTTTACTCAAAATACACCCCTTATCGACCACTGGAGATCCCACACAGGAGGGAAGCCATATCTATGTCGTGAGAGTGGGAAATGTTTTGCAGACAGTTCACAATTTGCGAGCCACAAAAGACTCCACACAGGAGAGAATCCATACTAATGCCTGGAGGAATGTTTTTAGTCAAACGTTATCCGTTAACAAGCAACAGTGAATACAAACAGGCTACAAACAGCCTTTGTGTGTAAACATCTGATTTCAAACAGGACTGTTTGAGAAGTTCTGCTTAAGACTTGGTAAAGTCCCCTTTCTTGTCATTTGAATCTTTAAGTTTGAGGTCTTGTTCTGGAGCAGCAGAAACAAGCTCCCTTTGACAATATATTAAAATGCATATCAACAAAATAATCACAATAACAATATAAGAAAATCAAAACAACAACATTAAACACTATATAAAAGAAACATCAAAACCAAACAATCAATAGTAAAGGAAGAGATGTTTCCACTATTATTTCCCTTGATGATGTGTACAAATTGTTTCTCTCGCTAGAATTTACTGCCTGTTGACTTGCTCCTGGCACTCTGCTAATCCACAGTAAACAGAAAAACATGAGCCTTTGTATTATTTTGGAATGTACAGTGTTATATGAGTATTTGAATCTATGATAACCTATTGTGAGTATTTGAATCAAATTATCTGTGAGAAATTTGATGTGTTTTGCAAAATTCAAGCCCTTGGGTTTTGTATTGTAGGGAAACAGATGTTTCTGGGTAGATTAACAATCCTAATGTTTGTGTAAGAAATACAAGTTTTCCAACTCTGGGGCATAGAGACATTTTACTCAGAAACGGAATAAAAGGAAATGTGTAGCAGTGGAAAACATTAAAAACATGACCAGAACATGAAATCCAGAAAAGAGTGTACTTCATTGGAACATGAGGGTCCCTTATATTCTCTCATGTGATCTTCTGATGGCTGATGCAATAACATCATCGTCTAATGGCAGACCACTACAAACAGGGGAGTGAGACTGAGGCCCCGTCTACAAGGCCACACTATCTGCTTTGAAGTGAGTTCTTTGAGTCTGCACTGCCATATAATTAAGTTCAAAGCAGATAATCTGGATCTTATATGGCAATGTAGAATGCCTCTGAGGCGATATACCAGTGTTTCTCAACCTGGGGGTCGGACAGGAAGGCAGGGATTTCCGTGTTCGGTCTCAACAAGATCAATCCTCCCCCAACATCATTGGTATTCAAATTTGGCGAATCGGGTATTTGCACCCAATTTGGTCCAGTGAATTAAAATACATCCTGCATATCAGATACTGACATTACAATTCATAACAGTAGCAAAATTACAGTTATGAAGTAACAACAAAAATAAATTTATGGTTGGGGGTCACCACAACATGAGGAACTGTATTAAGGGGTCGCGGCATTAGGAAGGGTGAGAAGCACTACTATAGGCCATTGAAGTGGCTTCATCACATAAATAGCCAGTGAAATGTCACTTTCCAGTCGCTGGAGAAAACCACCCTTCACATTAATGAGAATGAGTTGGGTAATAATAGAGGAGCTTCCCATTGAAAGATGAAGTTTAGTCTGTCCCAAGGCCTCTCACAGTGCTGCTCTGATCAAGACATTGAACAGGATGTATCTTCCCTGAATAGTTGAATGCTTGTGAGGCATCCCTGCATCTGAAGGGGTCAAGGAAGGGTTAAGGGGAGGGAGGTTGGATTCCTAGAGAGTAAGGAAGACAGGGAGGAGGAGGCGCCCAGTCCTCCAGAGTCTTGCCTTGACCACCTCCTCCTCCTCTCCTTGGGCAGCCTTCCTCTCCTCCTGGGAGTCTCAGTCCCAGATTCGCTTCAATGGGATGAAGATCTGTACTTGCTATATTTCTGTTACTAGTGAAACAGATTCCCATAAATAACAAAGGGAAATGCCACGCTTGCTTTTGCAGTCAGGGAATGCTTTCAAGCTGAAGGAAATGTGTAGCAGTGGAAAACATTAAAAACATGACCAGAACATGAAATCCAGAAAAGAGTGTACTTCATTGGAACATGAGGGTCCCTTATATTATGTGATCTTCTGATGGCTGATGCAATAACATCATCGTCTAATGGCAGACCACTACAGACGGGGGAGTGAGACTGAGGCCCCGTCTACAAGGCCACACTATCTGCTTTGAACTGAGTTCTTTGAGTTTGCACTGCCATATAATTAAGTTCAAAGCAGATAATTTGGATTTTATGTGGCAATGTGGAGGCGATATACCAGTGTTTCTCAACCTGGGGGTCGGGACCCCTGTGGGGGTTATGAGGGGGTTTGAGAGAGGTCACCAAAGACCACCAGAAAACATATTATTTCTGATGGTCTTGGGAACCGCTTTGACAGAGAAGGCTGAAAATCTCTCTCCCTGTCCTTCTCTTCCTTTTTGGAAACTGACAGTGAATCCTCCCACCATAACTTCTCCTCTGCTGTGGCCTCCAAGCCAAGGGGAGGGCTGTTTCTGAGAGCCCAAACAGGGGAGGGGAAAGCAGGCATGCTCGGTGTGCATGTGCGGGCGAGGGAGAGCGTGCGAGACTGGTGGGAGGCTTGCGCCAGTGAGTCCCTTCAAAGCATGGGAGTACTGTGTGGGAAGTCTGGTCCAATTCTATCGTTGGTGGGGTTCATGATGGTCTTTGATTGTAGGTGAACTATAAATCCCAGCAACTACAACTCCCAAATGTCAAGGTCTATTTCCCCCAATCCCCACCAATGTTCACATTTGGGCATATTGAGTATTTGTGCCAAGTTTGGTCCGGATCCATCATTGTTTGAGTTCACAGTGCTCTTTGACTGTAGATGAACTATAAATCCCAGCAACTATAACTCCCAAATGACAAAATCAATCCTCCCCCCACCCCCCTGGTATTCGGATTTGGGCATATCAGGTTGTAAAAGTAACCCACTTCGCTGACACCAATTTGTAACAGGATGACCGTTCTAATGCCACCGAATGCCACCAATTTGTAATAGTGTGTTCCACTTCGCCAATTTGCAACGGGATTTGTTTTACTGTGGTTAGCAACACTGGCCAATCTGCGAAGGTATTCCACCTACTACTGTTTAAATCTCCTAAGGTTTGCTAATTTATAAAAGGTGTGGATAATTATAGATGTAATTCAGGTAACTGCCACCAACGGGAGGTAATGCCGATGAGAACTGGTTCCCCAGACGCAGAGATATGGAGATGACACTGTCTTCAAACAAAAGTTAATAAGTTTATTTTGAACAAAGCGTATGGTTGCAGGCTGTTGGTTTACTTGGAATAACTTAGAGAACTTGTAGAACTTTAAATGTAACTTGGTTTGCAATACAGATCACACTTCTGTATAACACAACTTGTATTTGACTTTTACTGTAGTGAAGCACTTTCTTAAACAATGTTTCCTGAGGTGAATAGCCTTCCTGTTTGATCCTTTCTTGATCAAACCTTAGATCTCTAGTTCTTTCCTAACTAGTGATCTAAACAAGCTTCCCTTAGTCTTCTCTGACTAATGAAACTAATCAGGTTTCCCCCTTCAACCTTCCTAGATTGAAGAAACCTCTGGCTGTTCACACACACTGCTTCTCCACTTCCCTCTCTCCTCTCTCAACTGCTCACTCCGAACTCCAAACCCTAACTAACTGCTTCTTTTCAAAACGCAGATAGATTTCTCTCGCTAGGCTCCGCCCACTTTCCACTCTCTCCTGCCTGGTCTCCTTGGCAACGCCACAATGGATACAACCAGTTATCTCTAGTTTTCAGCTACTGTTGCCAACCAAATAGTTAAACAGTGCAAATACATATACCTAGTTTCAATAACTTCCTTACACGTATTAGTGTCAAATTTGGTCCAGTGAATGAAAATACCTCCTGCATATCAGATACTGACATTACGATTCGTAAAGGTAAAGGTTTTTCCCTGACACGAAGTCCAGTCGTGTCCGACTGTGGGGTGTGGTACTCACTCCATTTCTAAGCTGAAGAGTCAGTGTTGTCCGTAGACACCTCCAAGGTCATGTGGCCACTGGCATAACTGCATGGAGTCCCATTACCTTCCTGCCAGAACCGCACCTATTGCATGTTTTCAAACTGCTAAGTTGGCAAAAGCTGGGGATAACAGTGGAAGCTCACCCCGCTCCCTGGAGTCGAACCTGCAACTTTTCGGTCAACAAGCTCAGAAGCTCAGTGGTTTAACCCTCAACAGTAGCAAAATTAGAGTTATGAAGTTGCAATAGAAATAATGTTATGGGTGGGGGTCCCCAGAACATGAGGAACTGTATTAAAGTGTTGCGGCATTAGGAAGGGTGAGAAGAACTGATATAGGCCGTTGAAGTGGCTTCATCACATAAATAGCCAGTGGAAATGTCACTTTCCAGTCGCTGGAGAAAACCTCTCTTCACATTAATAAGAATGAGTTGGGTAATAATAGAGGAGCTTCCTATTGAAAGATGATGTTTAGTCTGTCCGAAGGCCTCCCTCAGTGCTGCTCTGATCAAGACATTGAACAGGATGTATCTTCCCTAAATAGTTGAATGCTTGTGAGGCAGCCCTGCATCTGAAGGGGTCAAGGAAGGGTTAAGGGGAGGGAGGTTGGATTCCTAGAGAGGAAGGAAGGAAGGAAGCAGGGAGGAGGAGGAGCCCAGTCCTCCAGAGCAGGCCATCCTTCCTTGACCACCACCTCCTCCTCTCCTTGGGCAGCCTTCCTCTCCTCCTGGGAGTGTCATTCCCAGATTCCCTTCAATGGGCTGAAGATCTGTACTTGCTATATTTCTGTTACTAGTGAAACAGAATCCCATAAATAACAAAGGGAGATGCCACGCTTGCTTTTGCAGGCAGGGAATGTTTTCAAGCTGAAGGGGGTTGAATGCGTGGATACAGAGGGGTGAGTGTGGGTACCTACATGTCCTTGCAGGCAAAGTGAATGGGCTGTGGTTGGAAAACCAAATACCGCAATGTAATAGTTAGAAAGATCTTGGAAGGAGTGGAGATTTCATTGAATCAAGCATCACATTAGTTTTCATTACAAGAAAGGTTTATGGATCATGTGGTGTCAGTGGCAGGAATCAAGGGGGATTCAGTGTGGGTTGGGACTGAAGGGGAGCTCAATGGGAGGCCAGGTGAGGCCAGGTGGGTCTGGAGAAGCAGAGGCCCCAGTGGAAGGAGGGCCCAGCATTACCTGGCTCTGCAATAAATAAGAGTGCTTGTTATTTCACTCTCCAAGGAAAAGCCTCTCAAAGCTGGTGTCTAATTCTGCCTTTCTTTCACAGAGGAAAAGTGATTGTTGTCTGAGAATGTTGGAGTAGAGCCTGTTCAAGGAAACAAGAAGGAGGAAAGCGTCTTGGGTCCAGTTTGCTTCTTCACCAAACAGTGGTTCCAACATGGAGAGACCCAACTCACCTGGAATTGAATCTGGACTTGGGAGCAGTGGGGCATCCTGGGGGAAAACAACACATAAGTTCCTAAGTGTGGACCTTTATAGTTCACTCATACAGTTCAGGCATTCCTCCTTCCGAGAGGGCGAGGGACCCAGAGAGGTTTGCAGCCGCCTCCACTCTCTCTGCCGCCAGTGGCTGAAGCCAGAGCAACACACCAAGGTGGAGATGCTGGACCTGGTGATCCTGGAGCAGTTCCTGAGCATCCTGCCCCCAGAGATGGGGAGCTGGGTCCGAGAGTGTGGGGCAGAGACCTCTTCCCAGGCGGTGGCCCTGGCGGAAGGCTTCCTCCTGAGTCGGGCAGAGGACGAGAAGCAGGAAGGACAGGTGAGAGCATTGCCTCTTGGGTTCACTCACCTTGGGACTGATGAAGAGATTGAACATATGTCCTGCCTTTCTTCCAAGATGGGACCTGTGACAGAGATAAATCAAACTCTGCTCCCTCAGACTCTTTTCTCACCACCACTTACCTCCATATCCACTGTAAGCTCAGTCGCTGCTCTATTCAATTTGTTGATCTCCAGATAACATTGAAAATGGTGGGAGGGGAAGTGTGGCATTTGTCTCAAACTAGGTTGCCATCTCAGGGTTATTCTATAGATCTGTGCTATCTTTAAACTCTCTCCATACTACTTCTACAGTACTCTGCTCTTCCATGTGAGAGTTGGTAAATGTCAATAAAGACAAGCCGAAGCATTACCACAGTATTTAAACCAAGGTATACCCTGCAGTATAATGAAATATCACTCAGTCTTATGTAACAAGTCACAGTATCTCTACTTCAGTTCAGAAGTTCAAACAGTACAACAATCTATACTACAGTTACTTTGAGTTCAGGCAGAGGAATGAAAGAGTCCTTTTAAAATAGTCTTTAAAATATGCCTCATGCCATAAAATGATCAGTCTTCAAGACAGTTGGCAGCCAGCAATCTTTTCGCTGTCCAAAGTGAGAATGGCCTTTGGCCTCAGCAGCAAGCCAGAGGCAGCAGCCAATCAGAACTCTGGCTCCTGGCACACTCAACCAATCAGCTGCTGACACATGGCTCTCCAGTTAACCCACCATATCATGGTGCCCTTGTTCCAATCCTCCCATTCCAGGCCCAGAATGGCTGCATGGAACCCAATCCTGATGTCCCTGAATCGGAGGAACCCCCACCAGGCCCCACCCAGAGCCTCCAGCAGAAGGAGCTCAAGCAGGAAGGAGACGGGGCTGCGGCCTTGGAGGGTAAGGAAGAACCCTTTGGGGTGTTTTCCTCTTTTATGCTGGTGTAAGTTTCCCTTTTAGAGCGATTGTGGCACATCCCCATCAATTGGAGATTGAAATTGTGCACATCCAGGATCATTTGGCCTTGAGAGGAGGATATAGGTAGGCATTCATTTTCAAAAGGTGTAATTTCAGTGGGATTTGCAATACTTGTACATTACCCTAAAATTGAATCTGACTGAAAATTTGGTTTTTGAGTGTCTTCCCAGGTGGGACCAGAAGCCAAGCTGATCCCTGAAACTGAGCTGGAAGACCAACAGACAACAAAGAATAATTTTAGACTATTGAAATGCCAAGGCCAGTACTAGTTTCAATCCAAGCTACTTAAAGCACTGCTTGAGATAAAATGGCCTAAACTCCAAAACTTTACATATTCCTGGGCTGGAGAATTCTCCCGTCTTCATAGGATCATTTCCTCATACGTTTCTTTTCAGGACTGTAATTGTCACCTCAGAGAACTGTCTTTGTGTTCAGCTTTCCACCCTTTGCTCTGTCTCTCTCTTTCTCTCCCAGGGGCTGGAATGATGATGTTGCTGAATCCACAGTCGAGTCTTCCCTTTTGTGATGGAGTGGAACTGAATGAGGTAAGCAGAAGGATTCCTGGGAGAGGAGGAATGGAGCTGCCTGGGGTCATTGGTTCCAGGCTCAATCATAGAATCCTTGAGTTGGAAGAGACCTTGTGAGTCATCCAGTCCAATCCCCTGCCAAGAAACAGGAAAATTACATTCAAAGCACCCCCGACAGATGGCCATCCAGTCTCTGTTTAAAAGCTGTCAAAGAAGGAGCCTCCACCACACTCTGGGGTAGAGAGTTAAAATAATAATATATGGTAAAAGGTTATCTATATACCTCCCTATCTCCCCGAGGGGATTCAGAGGGAATGGATAGGGTACAAGACCAAGTCCTAACTGTTGGACCAAGGGCTTGAGACTTGAGACTAGTCATTATCGAAGGCCTGATGAAATCACCAAGTCTTCAAGTTCTTTCGGAAGGAGGTGAGGGATGGGGCCAGCCTTATCTCCTTGGGGAGGGCATTCCAGAGGCAGGGGGCCACCACCGAGAAGGTGATGGGAACGAAACAAGGGCCTCCCCGGTGGATCTTAGTGTCTTCACCAGTTCACAGAGGGAGATGCGATCGTGGAGATAGGTGGGGCCTGAAACGTTTAGGGCTTTATAGGTGCACTGCTGAACAGCTCCCACAGTCAGGAAGTTCTTGCTAATGTTCAGGTGGAATCTCCTTTCCAAGAAAAGATTGAACCAACAAAAATGTAAATTATTTCAAATAGATTCTTGTAATTCTTTTTTTCTTGAAGTCCCTGATGTGAGAAGGAAATGTGTTCTTTTTCCACCAGGGCCCAATCGCCTTTGAGGACGTGGCTGTCCATTTCTCCTTGGAGGAGTGGGTTCTCCTGAATCCTGGTCAAAAAGTCTTGCACGTGCAGATTATGGAGGAGATTTATGGGATGGTGGACTCTCTTGGTAAGGCTCCCTCATTGATAGGGATTTCTAATTCAACATGCAGCATCCCAAGTAATATATGGGTCCCTTAATCTTTCTGATACCGAGAACAATCTCCCTTCTTTTCTCTCAACTGATTTGCTATTTCAAGGTGGTATGTTTTAGGAACTCTTCAAGTTCTCTTCCTGTCCTAAACCTCCATTTGGACTTTCTTAGGGTCTCGGTTGGGACTGTGGCTTTTGTGTTTTACTTTCTTCATGTGTGATGTCTGTGTGATAACCTGTTGGACATTTTAATATGGGACCTCGTGGGCCATCCAGGATGGTTTGGAGGCACTCTCCTGTCTCCCAAAACCGATGCCAAGAGCGGTGTTATGTGGATGTCACTATATCTGGCCATGCCCTACCGACATTCCTTTTTTCATTCCCTTCTCTGCCTTCATCAATGTTCTCCCCCTTTTCTTTACAGTCACTATCTTGGGGGAGAGATAAAAAGGAGGTAACGGTTGTGAAATGGGTGATAGAAAGGCAAAGTTTTAGCTAGAGAAAAAGGCAAGCCTTAGAATGAGAAGGGAAAAGTCATCCATTCCGCCAGGAAGGAGGAGACAGAATAAAAAGCCAGGCTAGGATGAGGAAAACATAGCCTTTGGAGCATATGCTACTCACCTTTCCCTTAGAGGCTCTAGGCAGTTAAACAGTGTCCATCTTTACTGAACAAGGGGTGGAGAGAGAACTGCATTTATATCTTCTTTTCCTCTGTATCTATGTTGTATAAAGGATTATTTCAATCTCCTTCTTACACCACTTTCCTAGAATCCTTATCATTCACACAGAGGACTGATTGTTTCTTTCCTCCTTCTTCGCAGCAGATAACTGGAACACTAAACATTTGGGACTCAATGGGGGCCTTCCTAGACACCAGCAACCCCACAGAGAAGAAGCTTCTGTTAGAGAAAAGCCTTACAAATGCGATGTATGTGGGCAGTGTTTTACCCAAAATGTGGGACTTGTACTTCACAAGACACTCAGTGTTGGGAAAAGCCATTGTCAGTTGAAAGCATCAGCAAAATGGATTGCTGCTTACAAACTGCCAGATCTGAGCCAACAAGAAATCTTTGTAGGAACTNGAAGATGGAGATTCTGCTAGAGAAAGGCCTTACAAATGCAATGTATGTGGGCAGTGTTTTACCCAAAATATGGGACTTGTAATTCATAAGACACTCTGTGCTGACAAAAGCCATTGTCAGTTGAAAGTATCAGCAAAATGTATTGCTGCTTACAAACTGCCAGATCTGAGCCAACAAGAAATCTTTGTAGGAAATGAGGATTTCATAAACCAGGAATGTGGGACATGTTTTGCTGACGGTTCACAATTGATGAGGCGCAAAAAAGTCCACACGAGAAAGAAGCCATACCAATGCAAGGAGTGTAAGAAATGTTTTCCTTGGGAGTCATCACTTCTCAGACACTGGAGTATCCATACAGGAAAGAAACCATACCAGTGCCAGGAGTGTGGGAAATGTTTTGCTCGCAGTTCAAACTTGGTGAGCCACAATAGAGTCCACACAGGAGAGAAGCCATACAAATGCCAGGAGTGTGGGAAATGTTTTGGTCACAGTTCACACTTGGTAAGTCACAAAAGACTCCACACGGGAGAGAAGCCATACCAATGCAAAGAGTGTGGGAAATGTTTTGCTCGCAGTTCACACTTGGTGATGCACAAAAGACTCCACACAGGAGAGAAACCATACCAATGCCAGGAGTGTGGGAAATGTTATGCTTCCAGTTCAGCCTTGTTGAACCACAAAAAACTCCACACAGGAGAGAAGCCATACCAATGCCAGGAGTGTGGGAAATGTTTTGCTTACCGTTCTCACTTGGTGAAGCACAAAAGACTCCACACAGGAGAGAAGCTATACCAATGCAAGGAGTGTGGGAAATGTTTTGCTCACAGTTCAGACTTGGTGAGCCACAAAAGAGTCCACACAGGGGAGAAGCAATACCAATGCCAAGAGTGTGGAAAGTTTTTTCCTTACAGTTCACACTTGGTAAGGCACAAAAGACTCCACACAGGAGAAAAGCTATACGAATGCCAGGTGTGTAAGAAATATTTTACTTGGGAGTCATCACTTCTTAGACACAGGAGTATCCATACAGGAAATAAACCATACCAGTGCCAGGAGTGTGGGAAATGTTTTGCTGACTGTTCAGCCTTGGTGAGCCACAAAAGACTGCACACAGGGGGGAAGCCATACCAATGCCAGGAGTGTGGGAAATGTTTTGGTCGCAGTTCACCCTTGGTGAGGCACAAAAGAATCCACACAGGAGAGAAGCCATACCAATGCCAGGAGTGTGGGAAATGTTTTACTCAGAGTTCACAATTGATGAGGCATAAAAAACTTCACACAGGAAAGAAAGGGTAAAAGTGCCAGGAGTGTAGAAAATGTTTTACTCAAAATACACCCCTTATCGACCACTGGAGATCCCACACAGGAGGGAAGCCATATCTATGTCATGAGAGTGGGAAATGTTTTGCAGACAGTTCACAATTTGCGAGCCACAAAAGACTCCACACAGGAGAGAATCCATACTAATGCCTGGAGGAATGTTTTTAGTCAAACGTTATCCGTTAACAAGCAACAGTGAATACAAACAGGCTACAAACAGCCTTTGTGTGTAAACATCTGATTTCAAACAGGACTGTTTGAGAAGTTCTGCTTAAGACTTGGTAAAGTCCCCTTTCTTGTCATTTGAATCTTTAAGTTTGAGGTCTTGTTCTGGAGCAGCAGAAACAAGCTCCCTTTGACAATCCTTCAGAGAGTTAAATATGATTGTCATGTCACCTATTCTGGGGCAGTTTACATGGGGCCAAGCCCAACAGAACAGTTAAAACATAATATATTAAAATGCATATCAACAAAATGATAACAAAAAACAATATAAGAAAATCAAAACAACATTAAACAGTATATAAAACAAACATCAAAAGCCAAAAAGCAGTAGTAAAGGAAGAGATGTTTCCCTTGATGATGTGTACAAATTGTATCTCTCACTAGAATTTACTGGCTGTTAACTTGCTCCTGGCACTCTGCTAATCCACAGTAAACAGAAAAAACATGAGCCTTTGTATTATTTTGGAATGTACAGTGTTATATGATGACCCATTATGAGTATTTGAATCAAATTATCTGTGAGAAATTTGATACGTTTTGCAAAATTCAAGCCCTTGGGTTTTGTATTGTAGGGAAACAGATGTTTCTGGGTAGATTAACAATCCTAATGTTTGTGTAAGAAATACAAGTTTTCCAACTCTGGGGCATAGAGACATTTTACTCAGAAACGGAATAAAAGGAAATGTGTAGCAGTGGAAAACATTAAAAACATGACCAGAACATGAAATCCAGAAAAGAGTGTACTTCATTGGAACATGAGGGTCCCTTATATTCTCTCATGTGATCTTCTGATGGCTGATGCAATAACATCATCGTCTAATGGCAGACCACTACAGACGGGGGAGTGAGACTGAGGCCCCGTCTACAAGGCCACACTATCTGCTTTGAAGTGAGTTCTTTGAGTCTGCACTGCCATATAATTAAGTTCAAAGCAGATAATCTGGATCTTATATGGCAATGTAGAATGCCTCTGAGGCGATATACCAGTGTTTCTCAACCTGGGGGTCGGGCAGGAAGGCAGGGATTTCCGCGTTCGGTCTCAACAAGATCAATCCTCCTCCAACATCATTGGTATTCAAATTTGGCGAATCGGGTATTTGCACCCAATTTGGTCCAGTGAATGAAAATACATCCTGCATATCAGATATTTACATTACAATTCATAACAGTAGCAAAATTACAGTTATGAAGTAGCAACGAAAATAATGTTATGGTTGGGGGTCACCACAACATGAGGAACTGTATTAAGGGGTCGCGGCATTAGGAAGGTGAGAAACACTGCTCTAGACCATTGAAGTGGCTTCATCACGTAAATAGCCAGTGAAATGTCACTTTCCAGTCGCTGGAGAAAACCTCTCTTCACGTTGATGACAATTAGTTGGGTGATAATAGAGAAGTTTCCCATTGAAAGATGATGTTTAGTCTGTCCGAAGGCCTCCCTCAGTGCTGCTCTGATCAAGACATTGAACAGGATGTATCTTCCCTAAATAGTTGAATGCTTGTGAGGCAGCCCTGCATCTGAAGGGGTCAAGGAAGGGTTAAGGGGAGGGAGGTTGGATTCCTAGAGAGGAAGGAAGCCAGGGAGGAGGAGGAGCCCAGTCCTCCAGAGCAGGCCATCCTTCCTTGACCACCTCCTCCTCTCCTTGGGCAGCCTTCCTCTCCTCCTGGGAGTGTCATTCCCAGATTCCCTTCAATGGGCTGAAGATCTGTACTTGCTATATTTCTGTTACTAGTGAAACAGAATCCCATAAATAACAAAGGGAGATGCCACGCTTGCTTTTGCAGGCAGGGAATGTTTTCAAGCTGAAGGGGGTTGAATGCGTGGATACAGAGGGGTGAGTGTAGCATGTCCTTGCAGGCAAAGTGAATGGGCTGTGGTTGGAAAACCAAATACCGCAATGTAATGGTTGGAAAGATCTTGGAAGGAGTGGAGATTTCATTGAATCAAGCATCTCGTTACTTTTCGTTAGAAGAAAGGTTTATGGATCATGTGGTGTCAGTGGCAGGAATCTCGGGGGATTCAGTGTGGGTTGTGGCTGAAGGGGAGCTCAATGGGAGGCCAGGTGGGTCTGGAGAAGCAGAGGCCCCAGTGGAAGGAGGGCCCAGCATCACCTGGCTCTGCAATAAATAAGGGCTTGTTATTTCACTCTCCAAGGAAAAGCCTCTCAAAGCCGGTGGTCTAATTCTGCCTTTCTTTCACAGAGGAAAAGTGATTGTTGTCTGAGAATGTTGGAGTAGAGCCTGTTCAAGGAAACGAGGAGGAGGAAAGCGTCTTGGGTCCAGTCTGTTTCTTCACCAAACAGTGGTGCCAACATGGAGAGACCCAACTCACCTGGAATTGAAGCAAAACCTGGGAGCGGTGGTGAATCCTGGGGAAAAACAACACATAATTTCAAGAGTGTGGACCTTTATAGTTCACTCATACAGTTCAGGCATTCCTCCTTCCGAGAGGGCGAGGGACCCAGAGAGGTTTGCAGCCGCCTCCACTCTCTCTGCCGCCAGTGGCTGAAGCCAGAGCAACACACCAAGGCGGAGATGCTGGACCTGGTGATCCTGGAGCAGTTCCTGAGCATCCTGCCCCCAGAGATGGGGAGCTGGGTCCGAGAGTGTGGGGCAGAGACCTCTTTCCAGGCGGTGGCCCTGGCGGAAGGCTTCCTCCTGAGTCAGGCAGAGGACGAGAAGCAGGAAGGACAGGTGAGTTGCCTCTTGGCTTCACTCACCTTGGGACTCATAGGTAGATTAAACGTACATCCTGCTTTCCTTCCAAGATGGGACCTGTGACAGAGATAAGTCAGACTTTGCTCCCTCGACCTCTTTTCCCACCTGCTCTGCCCCTCCTGCACTCACCTCCATATCCACTGTAAGCTCAGTTGCTGCTCTACTCAATTCGTTGATCTCCAGAAATGAAAATGATGGGAGGGGAAGTGTGGCATTTGTTTCAAACTAGGTTGCCATCTCAGGGTTATTGTATAGATCTGTGATATCTTTGAACTCTCTCCATACTACTTCTACAATACTCTCTGCGCTTCCATGTGAGAATTGGTAAATGTAAATAAACATAAGCAGAAATTTTATCACAGTATTTAGACCAAGATATACCCTGCAGTATAATTAAATATCACTCAGACTTATGTAACAAGTAACAGTATCTTTCCTTCAGTTCAGAAGTTCAAACAATATACAGCAATATATTCAACAGCAATTCAGGCAGAGAACAGAGGAATAAAATATTCCTTTTAAAATAGTCTTTAAAATATGCCTTATGCCATAAAATGATCAGTCTTCAGAACAGTTGGCAGCCAGCAATCTCTTCGCTGTCGAAAGTGAGAATGGCAGTTAGAACTCTTGGTCTCAGCAGCAAGCCAGAGGCAGCAACCAATCAGAACTCTGGCTGCTGACTCATGGATCTTCAGTTAACCCACCATATCATGGCGTCCTTTTTCCAATCCTCCCATTCCAGGCCCAAAATGGCTGCATGGAAGCCCACCCGGATGTCCCTGAATCGGAGGAACCCCTACCAGGCCCCACCCAGAGCCTCCAGCAGAAGGAGATCAAGCAGGAAGGAGATGGGGCTGCGGCCTTGGAGGGTAAGAAGGAACCCTTTGGAGTGTTTTCCTGTTTTATACTGGTGTGAATTCCCCTTTGTTATTAAGGTACATCCCCAATCATTTTGAGATTGAAATTTTGCACATCCAGGATCATTTGGCCTTGAGATTACTTATATAGGTAGGCATCCGGTTTCAAAAAGTGTAATTTCAGTGGGATTTGCATTTTTCTTTCTGTTGAATGCTCCGGTCTTCATAGGGTCATTTCCTCATAGGTTTCTTTTCAGGACTGTAATTGTCACCTCTGAGACATGTCTATGTGATCACTTTCCACACCTTGCTCTCTCTCTCTCCCAGGGACTGAAATGATGTTGTTGCTGAATCCACAGTCACATCTTCCACTTTGTGATGGAGTGGAAGTGAATGAGGTAAGCAGAAGGATTCCTGGGAGAGGAGGAATGGGGCTGCCTGGGGGTCATTGGTTCCAGGCTCAATCATAGAATCCTTGAGTTGGAAGAGACCATGTGAGTCATCCAGTCCAACCCCATGCCAAGAAACTGGAAAATTACATTCAAAGCACTTCTGACAGATGGCCATCCAGTCTCTGTTTAAAAGCTGCCAAAGAAGGAGCCTCCACCACACTCTGGGGTAGAGAGTTAAAGTAATAATAATAATAATATATTGTCGAAGGCTTTCATGGCCGGAATCCATGGGTTGTTGTAGGTTTTTCCGGGCTATATGGCCATGTTCTGGAGGCATGTTCTGGAGACCTCATTACCTCTGAGGATGCTTGCCATAGATGCAGGTGAAACGTCAGAAGAAAAATTGCCTCCAGAACATGGCAATATAACCCGGAAAAACCTACAACAACCCATTAATAATATATAATAAAAGATTATCTATATACCTCCCTATCTCCCCGAGGGGACTCAGAGCGGTTTCCACATATGCAAAATAATACAAAAACATACAATATAAAACAAAAACATGGGCATAAACTGTTATCACAACATATATATTAAAATCCATTTAAAACCGGCTCCGCTCTGTTCTTCATGCAAGGTAAGCTGCCAGGGGCAAAGATTTCAATAAGGGGCCTGGACTGTTTGGATCGGGATGGGCCAAGGCTAGTGTAAGGAGAAGGGGAAAATGGGGCTGGCTGAGTGCTACAGTGCAAGTAAATGCTACTGTCTCAGCAATGGCCCTTCTAGGGGACCAGGGCCACTCAATTCCAGGGCCAATTAAAGGACTATAAAAGAAAAGGTGCCCTCCGATGACAGGGAACTGCGGAATGGATGGGGCACAAGGCCAAGTCCTAACTGTTGGACCAAGGGATTGAGACTTGAGACTAGTCGTTATCGAAGGCCTGATGAAACCACCAAGTCTTCAAGTTCTTACGGAAGGAGGTGAGGGATGGGGCCAGCCTTATCTCCTTGGGGAGGGCATTCCAGAGGCAGGGGGCCACCACTGAGAAGGCCTCTCCCTCATCCCCACCAACCGGGCTTCTAACGGTGGTGGAAGCGAGAGAAGAGCCTCCCCTGGTGGAACTTAGTGTCCACGCCGGTTCATAGAGGGAGATGCGATTGTGGAGATAGGTGGGGCCTGAAATGTTTAGGGCTTTATAGGTGCACTGCTGAACAGCTCTCACAGGTAGGAAGTTCATTGTGAAACAGAAAAGATTGAACCAACAGAAATGTAAATACTTTTTGTAATTCTTTTTCTTGAAGAACCTGATGTGAGAAGGAAATGTGTTCTTTTTCCACCAGGGCCCAATTGCTTTTGAGGATGTGGCTGTCCATTTCTCCCTGGAGGAGTGGGTTCTTCTTAATCCTGATCAGATGGCCTTGGTCATCCAGATCACAGAGGAGATTCATGGGATGGTGGACTCTCTTGGTAAGGCTCCCTCACTTATGGGGATTTCTATTTCAAAATGCAGGATCCCAATCAGCAGCTCCCTCATGGGAACAATATGCTAAATCATTTCCATCACGGAGAGTCCTCAAGGCAGGGCTTACATTAGAAATATATGACATACTAGTAATATATGGGTCCCTTAGTCTTTCTGATACAGAGAAAAATCTCCTTTCATGGCCGGAATCCATGGGTTGTTGTAGGTTTTTCCGGGCTATATGGCCATGTTCTGGAGGCATGTTCTGGAGACCTCATTACCTCTGAGGATGCTTGCCATAGATGCAGGTGAAACGTCAGAAGAAAAATTGCCTCCAGAACATGGCAATATAACCCGGAAAAACCTACAACAACCCATTAATAATATATAATAAAAGATTATCTATATACCTCCCTATCTCCCCGAGGGGACTCAGAGCAGTTTCCACATATGCAAAATAATACAAAAACATACAATATAAAACAAAAACATGGGCATAAACTGTTATCACAACATATATATTAAAATCCATTTAAAACCGGCTCCGCTCTGTTCTTCATGCAAGGTAAGCTGCCAGGGGCAAAGATTTCAATAAGGGGCCTGGACTGTTTGGATCGGGATGGGCCAAGGCTAGTGTAAGGAGAAGGGGAAAATGGGGCTGGCTGAGTGCTACAGTGCAAGTAAATGCTACTGTCTCAGCAATGGCCCTTCTAGGGGACCAGGGCCACTCAATTCCAGGGCCAATTAAAGGACTATAAAAGAAAAGGTGCCCTCCGATGACAGGGAACTGCGGAATGGATGGGGCACAAGGCCAAGTCCTAACTGTTGGACCAAGGGATTGAGACTTGAGACTAGTCGTTATCGAAGGCCTGATGAAACCACCAAGTCTTCAAGTTCTTACGGAAGGAGGTGAGGGATGGGGCCAGCCTTATCTCCTTGGGGAGGGCATTCCAGAGGCAGGGGGCCACCACTGAGAAGGCCTCTCCCTCATCCCCACCAACCGGGCTTCTAACGGTGGTGGAAGCGAGAGAAGAGCCTCCCCTGGTGGAACTTAGTGTCCACGCCGGTTCATAGAGGGAGATGCGATTGTGGAGATAGGTGGGGCCTGAAATGTTTAGGGCTTTATAGGTGCACTGCTGAACAGCTCTCACAGGTAGGAAGTTCATTGTGAAACAGAAAAGATTGAACCAACAGAAATGTAAATACTTTTTGTAATTCTTTTTCTTGAAGAACCTGATGTGAGAAGGAAATGTGTTCTTTTTCCACCAGGGCCCAATTGCTTTTGAGGATGTGGCTGTCCATTTCTCCCTGGAGGAGTGGGTTCTTCTTAATCCTGATCAGATGGCCTTGGTCATCCAGATCACAGAGGAGATTCATGGGATGGTGGACTCTCTTGGTAAGGCTCCCTCACTTATGGGGATTTCTATTTCAAAATGCAGGATCCCAATCAGCAGCTCCCTCATGGGAACAATATGCTAAATCATTTCCATCACGGAGAGTCCTCAAGGCAGGGCTTACATTAGAAATATATGACATACTAGTAATATATGGGTCCCTTAGTCTTTCTGATACAGAGAAAAATCTCCCTTCTTTTCTCTCAGCTGATTTGCTATTTCACAGGTATGTTTTAGGAAGTATTCAAGTTCTCCGCCTGTCCTAAACCTCCATTTCGGACTTTCTTTGGGCGTCAGGTGGCATTGTGGCTTTTGTGTTTTACTTTCTTCATGGTTGATGTCTGTGTAATGACTTGTTGGACATTTTAATATTCATAGAATCATGGAAACATTGAGTTGGAAGGGACCTCGTGGGCCATCCAGGATGGATTGGAGGCACTCTCCTGTCTCTCAAAACCGATGTCAAGAGCGGTGTTATGTGGATGTCACAATATCTGGCCGAGTTCTGCAGACATTCCTTTTTTTCCCTTCTCTGTTTCATCATTGTTCTCCCCTTTTTCTTTACAGTCACTTTCTTGGGAGAGAAATAAAAAGGAGGGAACAATTGTGAAATGGGTGATAGAAAGGCATAGTTTTAGCTAGAAAAAAAGGAAAGCCTTTGAATGAGAAGGGAAAAGTCATCCATTCCCCCAGGAAGGAGGAGACAGAATACAAAGCCAGGCTAGGCTGAGGAAAACATAGCCTTTGGAGCATATGCTATCCATCTCTCCCTTAGAGGCTCTAGGCCATAGGTCCTGAAACTTTTTAAACAGAGGGCCAGGTCACAGTCCCTCAAACTGTTTTAGGGACGGATTATAATTTGAAAAAAACATGAATGAATTCCTATGCACACTGCACATATCTTATTTGTAKTGCAAAAAACATTTTAAAATAATACAATAATTAAAATGAATAACAACTTTAACAAATATAAACTTATTAGTATTTCAATGGGTAGTGTGGGCCTGTTTTTGGCTGATGAGATTGGATTGTTGTTTTTGTTGTTGTGTCAAGTCATTTCAGACATAGATTGACCCTGAGTGAGGGCCGGGTAAATGACCTTGGAGGGCCGTATCCGGCCAGCGGGCCTTAGTTTGAGGACCCCTCTCTAGGCAGTTAAACAGTGTCCATCTTAACTGAACAAGGGGTGGGGAGAGGACAGCAGTTATATCTTCTTTTTTCCATATCTATGTTGTATAAAGGATCGTTTCATTCTCCTTCTTACACCACTTCCCTAGAGTCCTTATTACTCACACAGAGGACTGATTGTTTCTTTCCTCCTCCTTCACAGCAGATAACTGGAACACCAAACATTTGGGACACAATGGGGGCCTTCCTAGACACCAGCAAACCCACAGAGAAGATGGAGCTTCTGCCAGAGAAAGGCCMTACAAATGCAATGTATGTGGGCYGTGTTTCACCCAAAATATGGGACTTATACTTCATAAGACARTCAGTGSTGGGAAAAACCACTGTCACTGGAAATTATCAGCAAAATGTATTGCAGATTACAAACCGCCAGATCTGAGCCAAGAAGAAATCTTTGAAGGAACTGAGGATTTCATAAACCAGGAGTGTGGGAATTGTTTTGCTGACAGTTCACAATTGATGAGGCACAAGAAGGTCCACTCAAGAAAGAAGGCATACCAATGCAAGGAGTGTAAGGAATGTTTTCCTTCGGAATCATCACTTCTCAGACACAGGAGTATCCATACAGGAGA